CGACACTCACTCACAGAAACACTCTCAACACTCACTCAGTCTATACTCACTCACAGAAACACTCTCAACACTCACTCAGCCTACACTCACTCACTCACAGAAACACTCTTAACACTCACTTAGCATACACTCACTCACAGAAAAACTCTCAACACTCACTCAGCCTACACTCACTCACAGCAACACTCTCAACACTCACTCAGCCTACACTCACTCACAGAAACACTCTCAACACTCACTCAGCCTACACTCACTCCCAGAAACACTCTCAGCGCTCACTCAGTCTACACCCACTCACAGAAACACTCTCAACACTCACTCAGCCTACACTCATTCAAAGAAACACGCTGAACACTCACTCAGTCTACACTCACTCACAGAAACACTCTCAACACTCACTCAGCCTACACTCACTCACTCACTCACAGAAACACTCTCAACACTCACTCAGCCTGCACTCACTCACAGAAACACTCTCAACACTCACTCAGCCTACATTCACTCACTCACAGAAACACTCTCAACACTCACGCAGCCTACATTCACTAACTCACAGAAACACTCTCAACGCTCACTCAGCCTACACTCACTCACATAAACACTCTCAACACTCACTCAGCCTACATTCACTCACTCACAGAAACACTCTCAACACTCACTCAGCCTACATTCACTCACTCACAGAAACACTCTCAACACTCACTCAGCCTACACTCACTCACATAAACACTCTTAACACTCACTCAGCCTACACTCACTCACAGAAACACTATCAACACTCACTCAGCCTACATTCACTCACTCACAGAAACACTCTCAACACTCACGCAGCCTACATTCACTAACTCACAGAAACACTCTCAACGCTCACTCAGCCTACACTCACTCACATAAACACTCTCAACACTCACTCAGCCTACATTCACTCACTCACAGAAACACTCTCAACACTCACTCAGCCTACATTCACTCACTCACAGAAACACTCTCAACACTCACTCAGCCTACACTCACTCACATAAACACTCTCAACACTCACTCAGCCTACACTCACAGAAACACTCTCAACACTCACTCAGCTTGCGCTCACTCACAGAAACACTCTTAACACTCACTCAGTCTACACTCACTCACAGTCGCACTCTCAACACTCACTCAATCAACATTCACTCACAGAAACACTCTCAACACTCACTCAGCCTACACTCACTCACAGTCGCACACTCAACACTCACTCAGCCTACACTCACTCACAGAAACACTCTCAAAACTCACTCAGCCTACACTCACTCACAGAAACACTCTCAACACTCACTCAGCCTGCACTCACTCACAGAAACACTCTCAACACTCACGCAGTCTGCATTCACTAACTCACAGAAACACTCTCAACACTCACTCAGCCTACACTCACTCACAAAAACACTCCTAACACTCACACAGCCTACACTCACTCACAGAAAAACTCTCAACACTCACTCAGCCTACACTCACTCACAGATACACTCTCAACACTCACTCAGCCTGCACTCACTCACAGAAACACTCTCAACACTCACTCAGCCTACATTCACTCACTCACAGAAACACTCTCAACACTCACTCAGCGTGCACTCACTCACAGAAACTCTCTCAACACTCACTCAGCCTACATTCACTCACAGAAACACTCTCAACACTCATTCAGCCTACACTCACTCACAGAAACACTCTCAACACTCATTCAGTCTACACTCACTCACAAACACTCTCAACACTCACTCAGCCTACACTCACTCAGAGTCGCACACTCAACACTCACTCAGCCTACACTCACTCACAAAAACACCCTCAACACTCACTCAGCCTACACTCACTCACATAAACTCTCTCAACACTCAGTCTACACTCACTCACAGAAACACTCTCAACACTCACTCAGCCTACACTCACTCACAAAAACACTCTCAACACTCACTCAGCCTACACTCACTCACATAAACTCTCTCAACACTCAGTCTACACTCACTCACAGAAACTCTCTCAACACTCACTGAGCCTACACTCACTCACAGAAACACACTCAACACTCACTCAGCCTACACTCACTCACAGAAACACTCTCAACACTCACTCAGCCTACCCTCACTCACAGAAACACTCTCAACACTCACTCAGCCTACACTCACTCACTCACAGAAACACTCTTAACACTCACTTAGCATACACTCACTCACAGAAAAACTCTCAACACTCACTCAGCCTACACTCACTCACAGCAACACTCTCAACACTCACTCAGCCTACACTCACTCACAGAAACACTCTCAACACTCACTCAGCCTACACTCACTCCCAGAAACACTCTCAGCGCTCACTCAGTCTACACCCACTCACAGAAACACTCTCAACACTCACTCAGCCTACACTCATTCAAAGAAACACGCTGAACACTCAGTCTACACTCACTCACAAAAACACTCTCAACACTCACTCAGCCTACACTCACTCACTCACTCACAGAAACTCTCTCAACACTCACTTAGTCTACACTCACTCACAGAAACACTCTCAACACTCACTCAGCCTACACTCACTCGCAGAAAAACTCTCAACACTCACTCAGCCTACACTCACTCACAGAAACACTCTCAATACTCACTCAGCCTACACTCACTCACAGAAACACTCTCAACACTCATTCAGTCTACACTCACTCACAAACAATCATAACACTCACTCAGCCTACACTCACTCACATAAACACTCTTAACACTCACTCAGTCTACACTTACTCACAGAAACACTCTCAACACTCACTCAGCCTACACTCAGTCACTCACAGAAACACTTTCAATACTCACTCAGTCTACACTCACTCACAGAAACACTCTCAACACTCACTCAGCCTACACTCACTCACATAAACACTCTTAACACTCACTCAGTCTACACTTACTCACAGAAACACTCTCAACACTCACTCAGCCTGCACTCGCTCACAGAAACACTCTCAACACTCACTCAGTCGACACTCACAGAAACGCTCTCAACACTCACTCAGCCCACACTCACAGTCGCATTCTCAACACTCACTTAGTCTACACTCACTCACAGAAACACTCTCAACACTCACTCAGCCTACACTCACAGTCGCACTCTCAACACTCACTCAGTCGTACTCGCTCGGTTACCACCACCGCTGTCCCGAGTCTTGCCGGATGGAGCTGTGATCCGTCAAGGGGGATGGAAGGGAAGGATGGCAAAGTGTGGAGGGGCTTCGGCGGCGAGTGCAGCGTGATTGGAAGGGAATGGAAAGAGCGGTGTGTGAGTGCGCGGGGTGGATGGGGGCGTCGGGTCGAGTTGTAGAGGGTAAGCAGGATGGGAGGGGGTTGTAGGTGGAAATAGGACAGGGGGGAGACGGACAGGGGGGGGTATTAGCGAGTGTGCAGGGTGGATGGAAGTGGTGTCAGATCAACTGTGCTGGGGGAGGTGGAAGTGAGGCAGGAGAAAGAGGAGCGAGGTGGGGGGGGGCTGTAAGTGAGACAGGAGAAGGGGGGGGGGTGGTGGTTAATGCGCACATTGGGTTGGAGGTGCCGAGTCGGAGTTTTTAGGGGACTGGAGGTGCTCGTGGTGAAACAGAGGATGGAGAAAGCGGGGGGGGGGGGGTTGTGCACGGGGGGCGGGTGCCGGGGTGGTGTCCGGTGGGGATTGGGAGGCTCCTCCGTGAGGCCCCTCTCTGCCTTCTTCTTCTGATATAAAAGCGCCGCCGCCGCCCGTTCCACTGGGCGAGAACGCGGGGCCAACTCCTGCGTTACGAAACCCGCGGAGCGCGCAGGAGACCAATGGGGCTCCTCGTCCGCTCTTGCGTAACGCGGATCACGCTTTGGAAGCTCCGAGTGGGGTGGGGGAAGCTGAGAGGGTGGGAGGGGGAAGCTGAGAGGGTGGGAGGGGGAAGCTGGGAGGGTGGGAGGGGGAAGCTGGGAGGGTTGAAATTGGGGGGAGCGGGGGGTGAGTGCCTTAGTTGGTGGTGGTGGTGGTGTAACGGTTCGCGCTACGCTGCACTACGAACCCGGCAACCCGAGTTCAGTTCCCGCTCACGGCCAACGCCAGTGACGATTATCTGAATCGGTCCTGGGCCTCCCCTAGGTCGACTCAACCTCAAATGAGTACCTGGTGCGGTGTGTACACATCGCCAGTGGGGAGACAAAGGCGGCCGGGTGTGGTACTGGCCACCCACCCCCTCGTGTGCCGTGCCGCATTTTCGTGACGGGGCAGGTTGAGCTAACATTGTGGGGGTGCTGAGTTTGGGTGCAGGGGTGACGTCACCACGGGGCTTGTGCCAGGCTCGGTACACGTGTACGAACACGTGTACGTGTACGAACACGTGTACGCACACGCTCAATGACTTGTGTGCGTGCATATTTGCACAAACGCACGCGCGAACACACACACGCACGCACATTTCTTATGAATAAAAAATATTTCTTTAAGCTGGAGGAATCCGATGAGCTATGAAGCTCTTCGTCACGATAGGGACATGTTTACAAAGACAAAATTACCCCCGGGTAGTCTTTAAGAGACTGAGGGCGTTGTTCGCGAGAATATTTTTTTACGCACGGGGTGGCCGTGCGGGTACTACCAACACCCGGGCCGCCTTTGTCTCCCCGGGTCTGATGTATACCCACAGCAGCAGACAATCATTCATGGCAGAGTCGACCGTAACGGAGAGATCCCCGGACCATTTGAGATATCACGAATGTTCGCCCTGGCCGGGAGTCGAACCGAGGTGACACCGGGTTGGTAGGGCAGTGCGCTAACCGTAACGCCACCGCTCCCTCCCGGACACCCGGGGCTGGGGGGGGGCGTCAGTGTCACCGGGCGCTTGAGAGAACTCAGCGAGGGGTGTAAGGGAGGGGCTGACATGGGTGTAGGAGGGGTGACGGTGGGGTGGCGAGTGGTTGTGTGGTGGTGGTGGGAGGAGGCTGGCGATGGGGAGGGAGGGGAGAGAGCGAGCAGGGAGGGAGGGAGGGTGCCCGAGGGGGTGGAGCCACGGGGAGGTGAGCGCCTCTATAGTCGCCCGCGCTCGGCTCCCTGCCGCTTAGAACCCGAAACCCGCCGCTTGAGCCTCCGCACGTGGCTCGCACGCAAACGGCGCCTGCTTCGCCGAGGCTACCGGCGGCACGAGAGCGGGGAACGCGGCGACTTTGAGCACAGAGGAGGAGGAGGAGAGGGCCCCGACATGTTCCCCGCCTTGTCCAGCGAAGAGGGCTCCGAGCCGTGGCTGCCCACGCACACCGCGGCCGCGGCGCTGTGCGCGCTGTCCCTGCCGAGGCTCGGGGAGGAAGTTCCCGTAGCGGACCCCTCGGCAACGGGGTCCGGCAAGGGGATGTCCTCGGTGTCTCCCGGTGCGGGGTCGGAACCCGCGACCATCCCGCAGCAGCAGCAGCAGCAGCACGCGCAGCCCGCTCATCTTCACCACCACCACCAGCAACATCTGCTTCATCGCCGGCAGCAACCGCACCTTCTGCAGCTTCAGCAACATCAACAGGACCGTCTCCTTCCCAACCAACAGCAAGAGCAGCAGCAGCATCAGCAGCAGCGCGCGGATGATGACCCCGCGGGAGTCGAGCGCGCACCGCGAGACTCCGGTTCGGCCGAAGAAGGGGTCGGTGTCGCGGCCGCTACTCCCAAAGTCCAGAGCGGGGTCAGGTGGGGTCCGGGAAACCCCCTTTCGTGTCCCCTCTGCCGGGGGATGCTCAGCGAGCCCGTGAGCGCTCCGTGCGGCCACGCGTTCTGCCGGCGTTGCCTGGAACAGGAGCCGAGCGGCGAGTGCGCCGCGTGCCGCCGGCCCTTCCAGCTGCTGGACGTCAGGGAGCACCGTCCCAACATCGTGGCCTGTAAACTCCTGCTCAAGTGGTTCCCTCGGGAGAGCGAAGCGGCCCGGATGAGACACGAGGCCCTGGAGCTCCTTCAAGAGCGACGCGCGATGCACGCGCTCGCGAAGTGCCAGGCGGCGATGGAATTGGGTAAGGGAGTGAGCGGTGGCTGTGGTGTTTGTGATGCGGCGTGAGTGTGTGGGTGAGTGATATGGTGAGATGGTGGGTGAGTGGATGAATGGGTGGGTTGAGTGAGAGTGGATGGATAGGTGGGTGGGTAAGAAGTTGGGCGAGTGAGTTTGGTGGGTGGATGAGTTGATGTGAAAGTGACAAGGTTGAGTGACCCAATGAGACTGAGTGGGCGATAACGTGGTGTGAGAACGTGAGCGAGTGTAGTGGATGAGTGCGTTAGTGGGCGAATGAGTGAGTGGTTGAGTGAGCGAATGGGCAATAGGATGAGTGAGTTGAGTGGGCGAATGAGCGAGTGTGTGGTTTGAGTCGGAAAGTCGATGGTGGAGTGTGGAATCAGCCCATGAGACATGAGCTGTTAGCAGTAGTGTAGTTGCGTGAAACATCTTGGGATGGCATGGTGGCTTTCACTCTCAGAAAACGTCTACTTGGGTTTACGTAACCGGCCAAAGGTATTCTGACCTGAACTCTAATTAGGGCAACCCATTTTAAGGTGGCATTAAAAACACCAGGGAGCTAATTGGGGTGGTAATAAGCGTGCGATAGGGGCATAATAGGCGTGTAGGTTGTCCCGTGAACACGTGCACACATTGGCACACACACACAAAGACCCACTTATAATCTCACTCGCACATACACACAACTGACACAATCGTGCACTCCCGTACATACACTTACACAACCGCACACTCAGACATAGACACAACTCACACAACAAAGACAACGATCGTTTGCCTACAGTGAAGCCTGAACAGACTGTTGGGGCAAGTGCTGTTAGCGAGCCCCTGTGAAGGCAGAACGAACGGCATACGAGGGGGTGGATGGCAAGTACACCACATACAACCACACACAACCACACTTGTACAACCACACTCACACACTTATACAATCACACTTACACAACCACACTCACACAACCGCACAACCATACTCACACACAACCACACATACAGACAACCACACATAACCATACTTAAACACAACCACACACAAACTTACACAGGCACACATGCTTACACAACCACACTCACACACTTATACAACCACACTCACACACTTATACAACCACACTCACACACTTATACAACCACACTCACACACTTATACAACCACACTCACACACTTATACAACCACACTCACACACTTATACAACCACACTCACACACTTATACAACCACACTCACACACTTATACATAAATGAAAATTGGACAATCACACGCATATATACTTACACAACCACATTCTCAAACAATTGCACAACCACACTTCACATACGCAGCTTGGGCACTTACACAACCACACACCCTCAAGCGCCGTGGGGACGTCACCACGGCGCTTGTGCCAGGCTAGGTGCACCTCGGTGCCAACACGTGAAGTGCGGAAAGCTCTCTGCTGGCGGTAGGTCACGGGCCGGACCCAGATGCTATGGGGTTGACCGACTGAGATGACCGGCAGATCCACCACCAAACCCCACAGAGGGCTCTATCTGACGCGCCCGTAGGGTAACAAGGACACGACCACAATGCATCACCACGACCACACACAACGCACACATTCTTATTGAGCAATTTGTTTTTTTTGTTGTGCCATTTATGTAATCATAGTTTCGCTTTTGGTGTCGGGCTTGGATTCTGGGTATAAGAGTGGTGGGTTGGGGGGGGGTCAATGTCGAGTCCCCTAACCGACTTGCTGTACTGGCATCCCCATACTGCTGTGGCTTGTTTCCTCTGTGCTTCCACAAAATCCACACAAATCTCGACAGAGACGCGTGGACATGACCCACCAACGCCTCATTTGGCCTCCAGCCAGCTAACTCGTACAAAGACAAAGATCCCCGTATAGCCTTTCACAGACCGTTAGGGCAAGTGCTGTTAGCGAGCACCTACGAAGGCCGGCACGGCGCACGAAGTTTACGGGTAGCCAGCACCTCGCCGGATCGCATTCGTGTGCCTCGCGCTGATGTTTACACATCGCACCGGGAACTGGTGTTACGGCTGAGTCGACCTAGGGGATGCGGACCGGTTCAAATATTTGCTGCTCTTATTGGTCGTGGGGGGGGGGGAATCCAACTCGGGTGGCCGGGTTTGTGGCGCAGTGCGCTAACCCCTGCGCCACCGCTCCCCGCACGTCACCACGTTGCCTCATTGTCCGGCGCGAGTAATTGACTCTCGCCAATTAATTAGCGGGCCACGTGGTTCTGGCGAGGCCGTGTGAAGCTCACAATGGCTCGGCGTGGGGGCTCGGGCAGGCGGGGAGGAGCTGCGTGATGGGGGGGGGGGTGTCCGGTCGCGTTGTGTAAGGGGGCAGAGTTATTTTAATCTCGGCTGCTCCTCTCTGAGTCGCCTTCCTCCTCCTTGCGTAACCGCGGCACTTAGCGCTCCGACCTTGTTTTCGGGTTTGGGGTGTATTGAACGGGGGGGGGGGTCCCTTTGGGATTGGTTTCGTGACTGCGGTGGTGTCCACCCCTATACGTTGTTCATCATTAACTGGTTCTTACGCGAGGGATACATCACGACACGGGGCTCTCCGGTTCAGTTATACAAGACGATTATTTTTTTTTAAAAACAGATCTCGATGGGGAATTGTGATGGGGTGGGTAGTGTGGTGTGACAACACAGCCACACACGTACATGGGCCAGTATCACTTCCACGTTAATACCACCGAGTTATTTTAATCTCGGCACCGTCGTTTGCGTATAGCCTCACCATCATCCCGCCTATGCGGTGCTGACATAGCGTGAAGGTGGTGGTGTGTGCGCCATAGCTTGCGTACCGCATAATGCCTGCTACAAGGTAAACAACAAGCTGCCACAACCTGCGTGTAACCACCACCACCACCGTATGTCGCCATCACCAACGAAACATTCCCCACCCCGTATCGTCTTAAACAGGCTGCTGGCGACAAATGCACTTTAGCGAGCACCTCTTAAGGCCACCATCACCGCGACGGGTATCGATGGTGGTGGTGATGGTGGTGGTGGTGATGGTAGTGGTGATGGCGATGGTGGTGGTGATAGTGATGGTGGTGATGGCGATGGTGGTAGTGATGATTGCGATGGTGGTAGTGGTGGTGATGGTGGTAGTGATGGCGATGGTGGTAGTGATGATTGCGATGGTGGTAGTGATGGTGGTGATGTGTGTGCGTGCGTGCGCGCTATCGCCACTGGGGCGCGGCGCTGGATGGGTTCGGCTGAGGTCGCTCCGCGTCCTCTGTTGAACTCGGCCCGGCCAACTCTTCTTACGTAAGCGCCGCGCGCGCTCCCACCACGGGCAAAGATCCCCCGGATAGCCTCACCACCAAAGCTCTCTTGGTGGGGGCAAGTGCTGCTTGGAGAGTCGCGCATAATGAAGGCCGGCACGGCACACGGAGGGGGTGGCGTGTGCCGGAACCACGTCCGACCGCCTTTGTCTCCCTAGTGGCGATGTTTAAACCAGGCACGAGGTCCTCGTTTGAGGCTGAGTCGACCTAGATGTGGGGAGGGGGGGTCTCAGAAGCGGTTCAGGTAATCGTGATGGGTGTTGGTCGTGAGAGGGAATCGAACTCTGATCGCTGGGTTCGTTTTGTAGCGCGCTGACCGCTGCTCTGCCGCTCCCCCACCTCCAACACAAGTACACACATGTACACACACACAAAGTATACACACGCACCTACACATGTACACACACAGTATACACACGCCCCTACACATGTACACACACACAAAGTATACACACGCCCCTACACATGTACACACACAAAGTATACACACGCACCTACACATGTACACACACAAAGTATACACACGCCCCTACACATGTACACACAGAGACAACGTATACACACGCCCCTACACATGTACACACACAAAGTATACACACGCCCCTACACATGTACACACACAAAGTATACACACGCACCTACACATGTACACACACACAAAGTATACACACGCCCCTACACATGTACACACATAGACAAAGTATACACACGCACCTACACATGTACACAGACAAAGTATACACACGCCCCTACACATGTACACACACAAAGTATACACACGCACCTACACATGTACACACAGAGACAAAGTATACACACGCACCTACACATGTATACACATAGACAAAGTATACACACGCCCCTACACATGTACACACACAAAGTATACACACGCCCCTACACATGTACACACACAAAGTATACACACGCCCCTACACATGTACACACACAAAGTATACACACGCCCCTACACATGTACACACACAAAGTATACATACGCACCTACACATGTACACACACAAAGTATACACACGCCCCTACACATGTACACACACAAAGTATACACACGCCCCTACACATGTACACACACAAAGTATACACACGCCCCTACACATGTACACACACAAAGTATACATACGCACCTACACATGTACACACACAAGGTATACACACGCCCCTACACATGTACACACATAGACAAAGTATACACACGCCCCTACATGTACACACACAAAGTATACACACCCCCTACTGGAGGCGGGGGTAGGTTTCTGTCATAAGTGTTATGGTGAGGCTGTGATGTTGGTGGGTGATTTCGTGATGGTGGTGAGGATGGTGTGATGGTGGTTAGGATGGTGTGATGGTGATAATTCCGTGATGTTGGGATGGTCATGATGATACTCCAATGGTGATGTAACGGCAAGTGTGATACTTTGATGGTGATGACGTAATTGGCAGTGAGGATGGTGTGATGGTGATGCTGTAATAGTGATTGTGATGGTGCTGTGATGGTCACGATGATAGATTGTGATGGTTATGGTGCTATGCTGTGACGCTGATGGTAATGCCATGGAGACTGTGATGGTAATGCTTTTATAGCGATGGGGATTTAGTTGTGATGGTGATTGTGATCACAATACTATGATAGTGATGATGCTACTGCGATGGTATGATAATGTTATGTGTGATGGTGGTGGAGATGCTATAATGGCGATGATATTGGGGTGATGATCTCACGATATTCTCTGGTGGAGATGCTGATGTGTGATGGGGATTATGCTCATCTTGAACATAGTTTACACAAACTAATTGTAAATATGCTTTATAAACTTGCATTTTCTAAGTTAATTAATATTTAAAGAAATATTCAACAGTTATTACAATTAACAATAATAAACATACAAAAAAAACTAATCTCGTAAAACGTAGAGCACTTTTATCAATCCACTGCTGGATGACGGTCCCACCTAACAATGACGGGTGTGGGGGGGGGGTTTGACCATACTTCACCACGCTGGTGAGTGCTGCTTGGAAGGGGGGGGCGCTTAGGATCGGTTCAGCCATCAAACGCCACTGATGTTAGCCGTGGGCAAGAATCAAACTCGCGGTTCGTAGCGTAGTGCCGTGACCGCTTCGCCACACGACACGTAAGACATACATGTACACACACGCGCGTTTATGTAAACCTCAAGAACTGGCATGGCTGTTGTGGAATTAACCCCCCCCACCTCCCCATGCGATACCAGAACAATTTGCGACGTTGAGCGAACGTCGATTGATGTTGAAGCAACGTTCATTGAACGGTTCCGACCTGCGCAACAACTTTTATTGTTGGAACCGGACAACCAACTTTGGGCCAAGGTCAGCGTCTTGACTGGGATGATGATGACGACGATGATGATGCAGGGGGGTTGGATGTGATGGTTTAGCGCGAGACTCGGACCAGTAGCAAAGTGGCGCTGCAGACGAACTCCTTTGCCCGCTCCTCTCCCCGACTCTCTTCATTCCAGACGACCGTGATCGAATGTTGAGGTTAAATGTATCGACTCCTCTATAATTGTGTCAAGTTTCGCCTCTCTCTCTACCCTTTCCATAAAAAAAAACATCATTACAAATCACAACATCACTCAGTCGCGGTCGTCTGGAATTGAGACAATGAGCCACCGAAACGTTGTTTATTCTGGATTTGAAGCTTTGGTGACCGCAAGGAGTCATACTCTTTGGTTGTTTTTTCCGGTAAAGTCACGTAGGTAAAGCAAAATTAAAATAAAAGAAAACAACTAAATAAAATCACGACGTTTCGGAGGCAACACAAGCTTCCGTCTTCAGGTGGAACAGCCACGGCAAGATCGCTGTATCGACTGCGCAGAACGGCGAGCTCTGGGCTTAGGGGCACTTCGCGAGCGGGGATGATGATGAGCGGGATGGCGTGGGGTCGACGCGGCAATGTGGAACAACATTGGCCGTGACCAGCGGGCGGTAAAGCAGCAACACGTATTGTTGTACTGTGTCACGGGACTTCTTTTATGCTGCCGAGTCGGCGGTCCAACGCATCGTCAGTCGACAGCCGCCCGGACCGATAAGGGCACGGGCGAGGCTGTCGTCCAGCAGTGGATGATGGACAGATGCGTGCGACGAGGATGATCGCGATCCCTCTCGCTCACTATTAGATGACACCGTTTCTGCATGAATATTAATGTAACATGACCGTTAAATAGAGACCCCCCCCCCCCCCCCCGAGGGCGTGCCGGTTATGGGTGGGTTGGAAGGGGTGGGTGCTGGGTGGCATCGTGTGACTATACTTAACCACCCTGGTCACTGCGGGTTCATGAAGGCGGGTGGCTCGGTTATAGACGTGGGTGGACGACACCGGCAGCAGCTGCACAATATAACAAAAGACAAAGGGACTGAAATATCTCATTATATATTTCGTGTAAATCATCAATCGTTCAATCACCACCGTCAACGGCAGCAGAAATCCACGGGCGTTCTGTATCGCAGTTCAACGGCCGCGTTCGCTGAGCGCGATTCCGTACAATCGAGCTGTTGTTTGGCGACGTGCCCTCGACCCCCCCCCCCCCCCCCCCCCGGTTCGCGACATCAGCACTTTGCATGGAAACAGCCCCGGTCGCGAATGCCAGGGCGGACTGCGCTACCCCCCCCACCCCACCCCCGACCTTCAACAAAGCGATTACAGACAATCAAGTGACGTTCCAGTAAGTAGGCCATTATGCAACCGGGCGCACACGTGTGCTGTCTAATTCGCCTGCCACTCGCATGAGCCCTCTCTTCCAACCTCCCTCCCCACCGCCACCACCACCGACTCCCCCGCCCCCTGCCCCGCCTGCCCCCCTGCCCACTCCGCTCAGCGCCCAGGAACGGGGGGGGGGGGTTCCTGAGCTTGCGTCGCGTTCCCCGATCCCTCGTTCGTTCCTCTCCCCGTCTCTTGGTGTCAATTCCAAGATCAGCGCACTTCTCCACGCTTCACCGGCGTTTATAATAAATCACGGCGATTCTTTTTGTCGCTGTAATTTCTCGGAAAAGGTCAACGAGGGTGGATCGGCAAAGGGCATGAGGATCCCGACACTTGAGCATCTCCATGGATAGCCTGACCCCTGTCATGGGAATGTGAAATGTCTAGCGCTGGCTCAGGACAGTCCGGATAGACGAGGCACATTTATGCCTCGACTGTTTTTTTAAATTATCGACTCGGGGCACGGTGATGCAGTCTCCTTCACGGCAGCGGTCTCGGCGGGCTGTCGTGATTTCAAACTTGTCTCCGTTAACTCGGCTCCTGTACGGTGGTGTAAAGGTTGGGTTCTCGAAACAAGCCACAATACTTGGACTCTTTTCCTCCCTTTCACGATGTATTTTGGTAACGTACAGCTCTTTGAGTTCCTCGTAGAAAGTCGCTTTGTAGATGTGATCCATTACGCTTATCATGAGTATTACTACCGCGTCTTCCAAGACCGGCGTGGAAGAGTGGGCCAACGTAACCTCAAACTGTGTGCGCTCGTAACGGCATTGCCGTAACGGCATTGCCGTTACGAGCGCCGTTACGAGCGAGCATTTGCAGGGCTGCGCCTCTAACCTCCCGCAGCGGCGTAACTGCCGTGGCGAGCCCTCGGCCGTCGTCCGGCACCGAGCGCGGCGCAGGCATCGCGATAACGGCGGTGGCTCACGGTTGGGGGGGTTGGGGCGACCGTTCTGGTGATGAGGCCTCACCCCGACAGCCACCATCTCAACCGATGCAAATTTCTACGGAGCGACGTCTTCAAAACTGCCGCTCCACCCCTCGCTCACAATAAAACAGCAGCTGGCAGACTTCGCGTGGGGAGGGGGGGGGGGCATAAAGACTTTGCCTCAACCCGAGAAAGGCAATATACAGCCGAGTTGATGAAAATGCGCTATTATGTAAGGCGTATAATTACATAAGCGGGGTTTCCATCGCTGTTGCACCGTTTACCTTGGGAGAACGACTGAGGATCCCATCCTTCTTCCTCCTTTCCCACCGCCCTCCTCCAAAAAAACCGATTGGCATGATCTGGTGGTGGTTGTTGTGCGGCGGTGTAGCGCCACCGTGCAATGCCATCACGAGCGCACACAGGGAGGTTCCTGTTTGCCACGCGCCACCCTGTAAATTGACGAACTTCTCACCCGCGTTTTTGTAATTATCGCGGACTTGAGCAGCAACAAGAGCGTCAATGTTACAAATAAAATATCCTCGCGCTAAAAATTATAATTGAGACATTGGGTGGTGAAAATTCCACATTCGTATGGCGGGGCCGAGTGTAACCATAGGCTAAACCCATTGTGGATGTCCCAACAAGGTGGTACTCGTTTTAATGGCACGGCTTGTGGACAACCTTCATCTAGCAGTGGATTAACAAAGGCCTGTGCGTAAAAAAGAAATACATTATAATCAGTACCCGAAGCCTATAATGGCCATTAATCACTCGCTGCTGCAGGGCATTTCCTTTCTTAAGGTATTGGGCAGCAATAATTATGTGAATAACGCATGTTTGATTAAATCACGCACATGTATTATTCGCGTTCTCCATAACGTTCCTGCTTTTACTCCTCCGTCAAACATTCAGATTAAATTAAGGTGCTGGGGTTTTTGTTGTTGTTTAGGGTCTAGATTGAGACCGAGTAATCTTTATTCGGTTATAACTCGACCCAATTGATCATGACCCGGCCAGGTGTTTCCGCAGGTCTAGCGAACGGCTCGCAATCGGAAGGCCGTGAGTTGACATCCTGCTTGTGGTGGGGTGTGGGGGGGGGCAGGGGGGTGACTCGGCCCATCATCCCTCCCTCCTGTGCCATATAAAATTAGCACCACTTTGTGAGCAAGTAAACAGATTGTCCGATGGATAGACTCGCCCTTACCATAGGAATGGGGAATTTACACCACTGGCTCTGGGCTGTCAACAGGAGACGACCACCAATGCATAAATTATCCGTTGAGCAGAGCGCCACTTTAACTTTGCTTTAACGATGAGCACAGTTGGCTACGCTCGGTGTGAAAGAAGTGCCACAGACATAATTACATTCTGAAAGTCACTTTCTCAAAACAGACCTGGGTCTCTATTTAGCTCTTTCATAATCGAATATATTGTATTATATATGTCATTAATCTATTACATTAAGGAATTGAGGATCACTGCTGTTTATCATAGCAAGGCTGGCGTGGGTCCTGGTGCAGTGGAAAAACAACCTGGCGTATCTTTAAGCCACGTTGGGCTGGCTCGGCATGGTGACGGCCTGGCTCGGTCGTACAGCGGACAAGAGCCAGGGCTTAATGTCCCCTCTCGATGCGTCAGCCGACAACCACTGCGCAGGCTTTGTGTGCAGCAGGGGCTATCCGCCTCTACGTAAATAATCCTATATTATCGTGCCCCATATTCCTATCATAATCTTTGAACGGGTTTAGGACACAATGAGGTGAGATAGGTGGCGGTGGCTGGGGGCCGTTCATAATTTGCGGAGCAGCGTTGCGGACTTTCTCCGGCTGCTGCAACGAAGCTGCCCACGAGAGGGATCGGCGTCGGTTTGGCTCACCGGTGCGTCTCTGCTGGTGGTGTCTGCGTGGTGTCCGTACGGTGTCCGTGTGGTGCCGTGCAGCTCCTGGCGACTCGGCGCTGCTGTGCGTGCGTGCGCGGTGCCACGCCGCCACGGGCCACTGGGAGGCCGCCCTGCTCGACGCGGAGAACGTGTGTCGGCTGGAGCCCACGTGGCACCAGGTGAGCCGAGTGGTGCCAGTGTGGGGTAGGAGGCTGGAGGGGGGCCGGGGGGGGGCAAACACCACTCAGTGTACCCGTGCCAACAGCGCACCGCGAACCGTGCCAACAGCGCACCGCGTACTGTAGCGACACCGCACAGCGAACGGAGTTTCCGACTCGTTCTCTCGCAGCAAGGTTAGGAGGCGTGCAGTGTGGCCAGATTTGGGGGGGTGAGGAGTGAGGGGGGGGGCGCAGCTGGGAGGGGGGCAAGTGGGGAGCTGGCGGAGCGTGTGGCACGACTCAACATCAAAACGCTCTTGTGGAATGCGGCGTACATCGATGACTCGTTTGTAAACGTTCAAGAGAGCGGTGGCACGGCGGTGGCGCCTGTGGCACACGCGGAGATTCGTGTCCACCGTGGAAACCCCGTGGTGGGGGGGGGGGGGGTTGGTTCTCCGAGCGTGTCTTGAATGACTGTGCGTGCCCTCTGTGTCTGTGTCTGCGCGTCTGTGGGGAGCGGTGGCGTAGTGGTTTGCTAATATCAGTGGCAAATATTTGAGCTTGTCCTGGGCCTCCTCCCTAGCCTGACATAAGCACCCAGCGCAGTGTACATCCACTGGGGAGACAACGGTGGCCAGTCGTGGTGCCGTGCCAGCCTTAATAGGTGCTCGCCAATACCACTTGCCTCAAAGGTCTGTGAAGGCTACCCAGGGGATATACGTCTTCTGTGTGTTGACTGTGGTTGTACGTGTGTTGGACAAATTCTGGGGGCGCCGGGACCCCCGCAGGGGCTGTGGCCCTGCTCTGCAGGTTGTTTGTGCAATCCTAACAAGAGACGTGTGTGTGTGTGCCACATTGCCTGCTCCCCCCCCCATCCCTTCCTCCAGGGCTTCCTTACGAAGGGCCACAGCCAGGAGGCGCTTGGCTTGCGCGAGGATGCCCTCACTGCCTTCCTGCACTGCCTGGCGCTGAGGCCCAACTGCGTGGACGTGAAGGCCTGCGTGGACAAGGTACTGCTGATATGCCGGAACGTTCCGCCCAGACTGTTGGAGCGAGTGCTGTTAGCGAGCATCTGTTAAGGCCGGCACGGAAACACGAGGGGGTGGGTGGCCATCTCCACGCCCGGCCACCATTTCTCCCCACTGCTGATGTTGTCACACCGCACCAGGCACTTAACTTTAGGCTGAGTCGACCGAGGGGAAGCCCACGACCGGGTCGCCGGGTTTTGGCAGTGCAGATCGCCGGGTTTTGGCAGTGCAGCACGCCGAGCGCTGTGCCACTGCTCGCCAAAGATGCACGTACACGTCATCGCATAAATAGCTGTTGTAATACTCGTTATTCATGTTGCACAATTCACGACAAAAGCTCCCACATCTCGGCGTGACACCTCCAGATGTTCGAATGTATAATCGGCGATGGGATTATATTCACGTGCGTTAAGTAAAAAAAAACACCCCATCGGGAATAGCTCAATGAGGACAAGACAAAACGGAGCAGAACGTGAATAACAGTAAAACCTTGGATTGCGAGCATAATTCGTTCCGGAAACGTGTTTGTAATCCAAAGCACTCGTATATCAAAGCACTCGTATATCAGTTTTGATCACGTGACGCTCGGCAGACAAAGCCTACACGTACTACTACTCGTATTGCAAGACCTCTCGCTCGTTTATCAAATTAATATTTATTTTAAAATGTGCTCGTCTTGCAAAACACTCGCAGACCACGTTACTCGCACTCCAAGGCTTTACTCTATTTTGTAACACTGCTGCCGCATTAGTTAGTGGTCCACGAGCACAATTAACCTCGAGATGAACCTTATGGCGGGACCCCGGGATTCCGAATAAACGGAAGTCAGAATCGTAATTAATTAATTTACTTCTGGCGAATCCGTCCCACCGCGCACATGAACGCCGCGACCCGCCTGGCGCGGATCGTTCTGTTGTCACGTCGTGCACAAGCACAGCGAGGACGAATGCGCAGAAGAAACAAAACTTTGATGAGCGCATCATGTCGAGCTCGTCGAGAGACGCAGATCGCCATGTCGTTCGCTTTCAACAGGCATAAAATGACGCACCGCCAAGCAGTTTATGCGAGAGCCGGGGGCTTACGGGACCCCGGGGTCCTGCCGTAAGGTTCAAATGCTTGACATCATCATCGGCCTCTCTGACGCCGGCCGTGCCCACTGCTCGCAGGCCCTGCCCACTTCTCCACTAACCCCGCCCACTTCTCTACTGACCCCACCCCTGCTCGGGAAGCCACTGCCCCCCGCTGGCCCCGTGCCCTCTCTCTCTGACGGCGCGTGCCGCGTGTCGCCGTGCAGCTGCTTGCGGAGCTGCTGTCCCCGGCGCTGCAGCGCAGCCCCCTCGACTTCCTCCAGAGAGTGCTGGGTCGGCCGCCCATCGCCAGCGGCACCACCACCGGCACCACCACGGCCAGCACCACCAGCAGCAGCAGCAGCAGCAGGGAGCTGACACTCGGCAACGCAGCGCCAGAGAAAGAGGTAACAGTGCAGCACTGCTCTCAGACTGCCATCCCCCTCCAAGCTGCCCCCCACCCCTCCTCGCCCCACCACTCCAAGCTGTCCCCCTGCCCTCCCATCCAATTCACACCCACACCACCTGAGTTGCCACCTATTCGACCGCCTATTCAAGCCGCCCCCATCTGAATCACCACATCCAAGTCATTGCCCTCCCACCCCGAGTCATCCCCTATCAAGCTGCCCCCCCGCCCCCACCTCTAAATCACCGAAACCCGCACCCTCAAAAATCACCTCCCACCACCCTCCACGCCACCGCTGACCCCCAAGCAATCCACGTCTATGCTGCCCGCTCCGAGCTGCCCAGTCTGAGCCCCCCCCCGCCACCCACCCTAGCTGCTCGCACCCCCAAGGTCAGAGCCATCCCGAGGGTACACGGCGGATCGGGGCGACCGCCCCGGGCCCCGCGCTTGGGGGGGGGGGACGTCACGTTGTCAGACGTAATACTTCCGGTTTAGTTTGAAGGCATCGCGAAGCCCACACTGCGTGATTTTCCCCAGGCTCTGCACACCCCCTATGGATGGCCCTGCCCAGGCTGCATCAGCTGACCATAGCTTGCGTCCTTCCCTTCCGTGCAGGACGGAGCTGGCTGCTCAGAGGAAGAGGTGGGCGACGGGCGAGGGAGCCTGGTTGACGAGGTGCCTCTTCAGAAGAGGCTCAAGCGGAAATGCTCGGTGGAGGAGGAAGAGGAGGGACCAGAGGAGGAGGACGGAACTGGGAGGTCTCTTCTGTCGCTCGGCAGGCCCAGGAAGCTGATGAAGCGATGTGGTGAGCGGCGGAATTTAAACGATAATTTAATGTCAAGCAAGATGCATGGCGTCGTGTTATTGGAGGTTGAGCGGTGGCGCAATGCTTAGTGTCACCGTGCCTTTAACCCAGCCCTCTGGCTAACATCAGTGGTGAGCGATGTCCCAATGAGTACTGGGCTTGGTGAAGTATGGCCAAACAACAACAACAACGCAGCATGACCTGTGGCGGTGGCGGCGTAGCCGTCCAGAGTCGAGTGGCCCGTGCATCGCTCTGTTTTCCCGCGTCCTACATTTTAATTGGGAGCGAGGGTTCCCGGGCGGGACGCTGGAAAATCGGCGACGTGTGGACCGCCGCCGCGGTTCAAGCCGCTGAGGCCCCCCCCCCCCGGTGGCCGTAGGTGGGTGCTGGGCGGGCGTGCGACTTTAACTGGGGGGAAGGTGTGTAGCGGAGGAGGGTCGGCATCGCCGCGCCGGGTACACGCGTGCCGTGCGTGTTGGTGGGCTGCGACGGAGTGGCGGTTGGCGCCCTGCGCCACTAACAACTAGTCGTGGGCGACGGCACACGGGCGACCTTTGACGCGTTCGCTGTTGTTCCCGGCAGACTCGGCGAGCGAGTGGGGAACGTGGCCGGCGCTCAGCGCCGTCGCCCCGGCTCTCATCGACCCCACGGACATGGAGTGCTCGCTGTGCATGAGGTGCGTAACCACGACCGCCGCCTAACCATCACCACGTAAACCAGGACTGTAAATGGGAAGGACGCCGAGTGGGGAACTTGTTAATGGTCCACATCGTTAGCAGGAGGATCCTGCCAGGTTTTCGTATTCAGGGGGTGGGGGTGATGATCGCTTTGGACGATGCCCGTTGTGTAATTAGTTGACCGCACAGGCACACGCGGCGACGCACGGTGCGGCGTAGCAAAGTGCGGGTACGCGTACGCCGTTGCGCGTATGCCCTGGACGCTGTCGTGATGCCTGCTGCCCCGGCGCGTTGCGACAGCGGGCGCCGTGGCTGCTGTACCGACCGTCGCGGTGGCTGTGGCCGTATGCGGCCATTTTTGCAGCTGTTACGTTGGCCGCCGCGGTGGCTGCTGCTGTACCGACTGTCCTCTTGGCCGGTCGTGGCGACGGCTATCGCATCGACTGTTCTATCAGCCGCGACAGCCGTTGTCATGGCAGCGATTGCGTTGGCGGCGCTGGAGTGTATCGACGCGACGTGTCGCCGACTGCTAAATCGATTAACCCCCGACCTTTCCTGCCCGGCCCCCCGTCCCGCTCGTCGCGCAGGCTGCTGTATGAGCCGGTGACGACCCCCTGCGGCCACTCGTTCTGCCTGCGCTGCCTGGAGCGCTGCCTCGACTACAACCCGCGCTGCCCCCTCTGCAAGGAGACGCTCGCACAGGTGCGCACCGCCCCCATCCCACGTGACGTCATGCCTAGCCTCCCTCATCCCCCTCGTCCCCCTCGCCGCTCTATGTCGCCCCCCTACATCCGCTCGCCGTGGATTCGTGTTGGGAGGCCTTCGATCCGCTGGTGGATTACGAATGGTTGGAACTTTTTTACTGCAGTAATTGGTAACCGGGCAGAGGATCGTCAGCTCGCAGCACTTGCGATCCAGGTTTGTGACTCGCAGGTTGGTGTACGTGACGCTCACGTGTGTGTGTGTGTGCACAGTACCTGGCGCTGCAACGCTACAGCGCGTGTCACCTGCTCAAGGAGCTCGCCGCTCGCTACATGGCCGAGGCGCTCGCAGAGCGACGCAGCGCCCACCTCGACGAGATCGCCGAGATGTCCAGGTGAGGTCGCAACCTCCACGCACCTCCCGCTCCTCCTCCTCTAGGCGTGACCGTCGTCCCTCGTGTGGCATCCGCCTCCCCACTCGGCTTTCTCTGTTCGTTCCTGTCCAGTGGCTATGATCCGCACGTCCACTCCACATTCCTTCACATCCAGGCTCACCACTTCGAACCACCTCGAAGGCTCCACCCTGGCACTATCCATGCTCGTCATCATAATCTTTATAAGGTCTGTATGTCAGTCCGTGGGACTCTTTGTAGGTCTATGGGTCTCAATGTAGGACTGTGGGTCTCTTTGTAAGTCCGTGTTTTGTCTCAGACACGTGACAATCATTCCTTACTCGCCACCAAGCAAGAGCACTGCGCTGCCCTTTGCTTTGCTCGTTGTGAGGCCACGCTATCGCTCCCCACTGCCGTTAACAACCACTCTGCCCTTCTGACACATTGTATAACACCCCCTTAAAAAAGCGTGTGCCATCACCCTCGGCGTAACAGCTCACATTACAGAATCATTCGTCACATTGGGGTTTTGCAACGCGCAATTGAGACCTCGTAACATTTTTTGCCAGATAGTTATATAACTAACTTGCCAGCCATTCTGCACAGTGATGTGTGTGTGTGCCGGGCGGCAATGCTGTGGTGGGCAGTGACGTGGGGGGAGGGCCAATTTAGATTGGCTTTTCCCTTCATAGCGTTTGTAACCACCACAGCGGCCAAATGGGGGCTCTGGACGGATGCGAGGGGCTGGTAACTCCTCCACCTTCAATTAACTACCACCAAACTACGATGCAAATAACGTATTAAGCTTGTGCCTGAGGCCCCGGGGGGACAGGCGTCTATGACGTCGCCTGGCTAAACCTCATTTGGCGGAGCCAGGAGACTGAATCCTTACCCTCGGGGCTTCTCCGGAAACAACAAAAAGCAAACTTCGGATGGCCACGTGAATGTTCGAACGCTCACTATGGAGGAGAGGCTGCCACTCCTCTGTCGGGTGCTGGACCGGTACCGCCTGGATCTCTGTGGCATTCAGGAGGTCCGGTGGACCGGTTCTGGCTCCTGCCACCATGAGGGGTGGACAGTCCTCTACTCGGGGCAGCAGACTGCCAAACAACAGGGTGTGGCTCTTCTTTTGAACAAAATAATGAAGGGGGCGTGGGAGCGTGGCGGTGAGGTGTGGGAAGCTGGAAGCCCCAGGCTATTTTTGGCTCGCCTTCCCATCAACCATAGGCGAGGAGTGGTGGTCGTGGTTACTTATGCCCCCACCGAAGATGAACATCCGTGGAGGGATGCAGGCAAGGCCAATGAGTCCGATGCCTTCTATGACCTCCTGTCACAGGTGCTAGCTAAAATGGCCCCACGGGATAGATTCATCCTGTTGAGTGACTTCAATGCCCGAGTTGGTCATGATGCTGGCACCTGGTCTGGAGTGATTGGAAGGCATGGGCCAGATCAGCTCAATAACAACGGCAGGAGGCTGCTAGATTTTTGTGCAGCCCATGGGCTTGTAATTACCAACACACTGTTCCGGCATCGGCGCATCCACACAATATCATGGATGCATGCCGGGTCCAAGCAATAACATCTGCTGGACTACATAGTGACAGAACAGCAGATGCAGGCCCATGTCCTTGACACCAGGACCTACCGTGGAGCTGCTCTGCCCACTGACCATCGACTAGTCATCTGTAAGATGCGCCTGCCATTCTTCCACTCCGGTGGTGGGTGTACACCCAGGACCCCATTCCAACCTAAAGTGGCATGGTCTCAGCTAGTTGATGAAAGTTGCAAGAAATAATTTCATCATCGCTTGTGGCTGGGGTTGGCATCGTCCCCCAATCCTCCTAATGTCGAGGGGAAAAGGGCGAGGTTTAGGACTGTTGCTCATGCAGCTGCAATGGCTGCTTTGGGTATGCGGTCCAGACCTCCTCAGAGACCCTGGCTGACAGAGGAGGTGTTCAGGCTGGCTGAGAAAAAGCGACAGGCCCACTCTCATCGTCTACAGCATCCCATGTCAGAAAATGAGGAGGCTTACCGCAGCCTTCGCTCGGAGGTTCGGAGAGCCGTGAGGCGCTGCAAGGATGGTTGGTGGTCGTGGGTTACTGAGGAGATGGAGTCTGCTTCAATGGCCCGCGATCACAAATCGCTTTTTAATTCCATTAAAAAAGTAACCTGCAGCGCCACACGTATTACCATCATTAGGGGAAAGAACGGTGATCCAATCTCCGACCCCCAGGAACAGGTTTGCGGATTTGCTGAGCATTTATGTGGAGTCCTGGCGGAGGGAAAATCCCTTGAGCGATAGGGATGGCTCCCTATCGCTCATTATGTATGCCGATCTGGTAATTGCTGCTCAATCAGAGTTGGAGGCGCTGCTGCTGAATCTAGTGCTTGCCACTAAGAGGTGGGAACTTACCATCAGCCCCACCAAAACTGAGCACCTGCCTGGGCATTTTGTACCATCGGACACTCCACCCCCACAACTCCCAATTGGTGATAGGGCAGTTGTGGAGAGAGTGAAGAGTTTCCCATACCTGGGCAGTGTGCTCATGACCGGCTCCGATTTGACAGCAGAGGTCTCACTCCGAATCAGTTGAGCGGCATTATCTTTTCATCGGTTGTGTAACACTGTGTGGAAGCTACCTGGTTGTTGCTCCGCATGAAGCTTCAGCTCTTCTCGGCCACAGTCATTCCCTCCCTTCTCTATGTTTGCGAAACGTGGACCCCCTTAATGGAACATCTTCGCCGGTTAGAAACATTTAGGCTGGCCTGCCTACAATCTATCTTGGGTTTAACCAGGCTGGATTGTGTGAGGAGTTCACATGTCCTTGAAAGATCTGGACAAAGTCCCATCGATGAGGTCCTCTGGCAGGCAAAGCTGCGTTGGCTGGGTCATGTAGCCCACATGCCCAGCCACAGCATGCCTAAACAGCTTTTGTTCGGCCGGATCAAGAGGGCTAAACGGGCACAGCACGGGCTAGAGAAGAGATGGAGTAATGTGGTACAGGAGGATGTGGAGCTGAGTGGACTTGCCAATGACTGGTACCAGTGGTGTCAAGAACGGCCTCTGTGGAGGAGGCTCGTGAAGGACGCTACTGGGCAGTTGGCGGCAGTCGCCCTCCAACAACAACGGAGGGGGGAGGAGCGAAGCTCAAAACAACGAGCGGAGCGCAGTAGGAGGCACAGGTGGTGCATCAGCCAGTCATCTCAGTCATCTCAGTCGTCTCAGTCATCTCAGTCAGTCGACCCATGGTACCTGCCAGCGGGCGGTCGATACTTCACGTGGCCTCAACGTGTACATAGCCTAGCACAAGTGTGGCATCACTGTCACTTAGTGGCGAATGGCGGTTGTTGTTGATGTGTTATACCGGGTGTGGTGCTGGCCACCCACAACCTCGTGCGCCGTCCCGGCCTTCATAGGTGCTCGCTAACAGCCTTTGCTACAACAGTCTGTTGAAAGCTATACAGGGGATCTTTGTCTTTGTTATCTTGAGCTTACGATGAGATTGGGTGGACGGGTGGCAGGAGCGTAGTGGTGGCAAAAAGGGTTCGATTCACGACTTGGGTGCCTCTCTATGTAAGAGTCTGTACGAGACGTTAAATATTCCGTAGTGCTTCCTTGTGCGTGTAACAACACGATGAGAATCCATCGTCAGGTGCGCCATCCACCCGCGTAGAACCCTGAGCACGAGCAATCGATTATTTATGCTTTATGCAAACTGTCGCGGTCCGACGCCACCTCCCGGCGCGGCAGCCGAAACGCTGGCTCCGAGATTTTTTAATTCCCCTTTGGTGCCTCCGTCCACCCGGCCGCATAAATGGGCAACACCACAGTTGGTCTACGTTGAGGCCAGTTTGCCTGCGGTGGGGTAAAACGTGGCAACTCCCACATCTTTCCAAGACGACAACGTCCGGTCGGCGTGGAAGAGTAGACCCAAAAACACCCTCCAGAGCTCCCTCTGGTGAAGGCCCCTTTTCACCAGCACGGAGACGCGCACCTGCAAACAGCGCAGGGCTGCACCACTACCTCGTCCAATACTAACCAGGTGGTGTGGTGCGGTGACGCAGCCTCACGCAGGACGTGCCGGTGTTCGTGTGCACCGTGGCATTCCCGTCGCTGCCCTGTCCGCTGCACGTCTTCGAGCCGCGCTACCGCCTCATGGTGCGGCGCTGCCTGGAGACCGGCACGCGGCGATTCGGCATGTGCCTGGGCAACGCCAGCGGGTGAGTGCGCGTTAGCGGCTGCGGCGCGGCCGTCACTGGTGCTGGGTCGCCGGCAACGTCGTCGACAAATTGTTGCCACCGTCTCTGTCATCGTCATCATAGCCATTGCCGTTGTCATTCGCCATCACAATGTCACTACAATCGTCATCGCCGTTGTTGTCGTCACCACAATGTGTGCGTGTCGAACTTCGTGACGTATGTAGCCAACCGTGCTAATCGCATCGTCGTCATCACCTGCATCACATTCATAATTCCTGAGGGTTATTATTTTCCAGAAATAAGCTTTGCGCAGAGATCGGGTATCTCACCTCCCCCCTGATCCCCGGTCCTCGGTCGCTGATCCCCGGTTCTCTGTATCCCGCATTGCGGTTGCAGCTTCACCGAGTTTGGCTGCATGCTGGGCGTCCAGAGCACGCAGCTCATGCCGGACGGGCGCTCGGTGGTGTACACGGTGGGCGAGCGGCGGTTCCGCGTCGTGCAGCGAAGCCATCGCGACGGCTACAACACGGCCAACATCGAGTACCTGGAGGACGTCAAGGTGAGCGCCGGGAGACCCGGATGGAGAAACGCAACATCGGGCACGCAAGTGCGTGTGGGCTCGATTTAAGAGTTATAACAACAGCAATGATAATAACAGCGACGCACGCAGGCAACAGGTGGTTTACAGGCAGCAAACGGTGCGATCGTGACCAAAGGATCGCTTCCTCCCAGCGTGCTTTGCATGTCATGTGACATCGCCACCGGACTGCATCCCTCTACGGTCGATAACATAACATTTGCGGCACATCAGCAGAGGGTTGTCCCATGGTTACGTACTCAGTTTCCACCGCTGTCTTGGGACCGTAAACAGATGATGGCTTCTGAGCCCATTTGAGCTCAAATCCACATTTAAAAAAAAAAACCTCCCGCATTGAGCCCTTCCGGCTGCATGTTAAACGTCGCCTATCCATAAACCACGGACGGGCCCTAAAACCCTCGCCATGAACTGGCAGCAGGTGGTCAGTGGGGGCGGGGTGGGGCACCATCAGACGCAGATGTAATTGCCATTGTTTTGTGCTTTTCATGTATTTCACGAGTGGCTGCAGCCCACTAATTGCAAAGCTCTGTGAGGCTGTGAACCACAACCGCACCTGCTCCTGCCGGGTGTGGGGGGGGGGGTGCTATGGAGATGCTAGGGCCATGCCACGGCTGTCAACGATGGCTGGAGAGGGTGGGGGGGGGTAAGAGGGAGGTGAGGGAGGTGGGTTCATGGGTTGGCTCCGGGAGTAAGAAGTCTTGGCTCTAAGCTGGTCTGCACCTGTAGCCCTCCCCCACCCTGCCCCTTCACCCACACATCGTAAGACGATAAAATTAATCCCGAGATTAAATTTCATAATTAACGCAGATTACGAAGTTAAGAAACAAAACCAAGCGCACGCCTTTGCTACGGGGAAACGAATCCAATCTTCTTCGTTGGGCGGCTGCGACTCGGAGAGATGACACAGCCTCCACGATCAAAGAAGCTCGCGCTGCCGACGCTCCAAAGCGGGAGTTGAACTCCCGCCGGGTCCCTCTGTGTCGCCGACAGAGAAATCTTTCCGCGCCCGACAACATCACACCGGCAACATCACACCGGCAACATCACACCGGCAACATCACACCGACAACATCACACCGACAACATCACACCGACAACATCACACCGACATCACACCGACAACATCACACCGACAACATCACACCGACAACATCACACCGACAACATCACACCGACAACATCACACCGACAACATCACACCGACAACATCACACCGACAACATCACACCGACAACATCACACCGACAACATCACACCGACAACATCAGTCTGACAACATCACACCGACAGCATCACACCGACAACATCACACCGAAGCGTACTCCTCGCGGACCCTCCTTGATGCCCCTAGAGGATGCTTTCTGCTTTAAGGAGCTGACAACACCGCCGCGTGCCGCCGGCACCCGGCTCACGGCACCCAGCGTACCTGTCGCTCTACGAACGCGTCTTCCTCTTCGCGTGCGCGCCGCTTACCCCAGTTTCCCAGCGACCCGCGAGAATAGTTTTCATCGAGATATTAAGCCCTGGGCGCGACCGTCCATTTTTCACCGTCAAACCAGAGGGGAAGTTAATCGCCGCCACGGGGGTAAGCGGCGGCAACGGCTGTCGCGTTGGCGCTGCTCATCGCCGCGGGGCAACGCCGGCCGGCCGGCGCTACGTGGTGGGGGAACTCGTGGTCGGCGCAGCTAACGGCCGACCCATGTCTCCGGCGCAGGTGGAGGAAGAGGAAGCGTACACGGAGCTGCAGGCGCTGCACGAGGAAGTGTATGTACAGGCGGCCGCATGGTTCGGCTCCCTCCGCAGCCGCCTACGCAGCCAAGTGCTGCTGCACTTTGGCACGCTGCCCGCCAAGGAGGCCGACCTGCAGGTGAGGACCGAGCGGAGGCCCGCCCGTGCCACTCGCCTCACCGCTCGTCCATTCGCTCACCCGGCGACGTGTTCTACCGCTCGCCCCACCGCTCGCCCCACCACTCATCCCCCTCTAGCCGTGTCTCACCACTCACACCACCTCCCCCCCACTACTTGGCCCGCCACTCGGCGCGTTTGCTGGCACTGATAAACACGTGCGTTATCTCGATGCCAACTGCGAACGCGTTACATTATCGTGCGGTTTGAATGAATCACCCCGAAAGATCGCTCCGTGCGGCCAAGAGCCAACGGCGTCCCGGCGGCCGGAGCTCAGCCACGGCGCTCCTCCGCCGTCCGCTCGGGACTCGAGCGCCGCTCGGTCCGCTTGGCCAGTGGAGATTTTCCACGTGCGCACGAGATCCCCCCACCTCCTCGAGCATTAACACGCTGTTGGGACAGCTGCTGTTAGCGAGCACCTATTATTAGCTCCTCCGATAAGGCACGGTTGGCTACGTACGGCACGAAAGAAGTTCAACACGCATACATACGAGCCAGATGCCTTTGTCTCCATTTAACGCTGACCGCTGATGTTTACACACCCGCCGCACCAGTTACCGGCCTAGGAGCGGTGCAGAAATTCGCCACTGTGAGCCGAAATGGAACCCAGATCACGAGGTTCATGGCACTGTGCGCTAACCGCTGCACCACCGCTCCACACACGTGCGTGCGCGCACACACACACACGTGAATGTGCGTGCGTGAGCGTTATATAAGAAAGCAACCCAGAGCGGTCTCATGTTTGGGAAAAAAAGGGCGGGTGCCGTGTTTAAAGTCTGAGCAAGCGGTGCACATTCCACATTCCCATGGCAGTGGAAGTCCATCCACAGTTCATAAAGTAGCCGACCGTTGCCTTCTCACAAAGTGGTTCTCGTTTTATCTTTGCCGGCGGTTTGCCCGGTGCCTTGACCGGGATTTGAACTTCCAAAACTTCACATTGCAAGCCAAACGCGCTAACCACTGAGCCACCCGGGCAAGATAAGCAACATTCAACGAATAAAATACATAAACGTAACAAATTAGAAAGGGCATTAACAAAGCGTAAGGGGTTAGCGCAATGCGCTCTGAATCCGGCAGGCAACCCGAGTTTGATACCCGGCTGTGGCCAACATCTTAGTAATTTGTGATATCCCGGCTCCTGCTCCCCCTCCGTATTCCTGGCCTTTCACCAACCGGCAGTGACCGGCGTGATTCAAGTTCGGCCAAACAACCCGCGTGACTGAGTGGGTGGGCCTCCATCCAGCAGTGGAGTTGACAAAGAGGCTGTGATCTCTCTTCTTACCCCAGCGTACGCAGCAGCGAGTCAAGAGTGTGCAAACAAAAAAAACTCGCACTGGTGCCTGCCAAATCTGGCGACTCACACCTCCATAAACTTTACGAATTATAAAGTTTGCCTGTTATGTAATGTTACGAGCGCTTCCTGCCATACATCAATTTGGCTGCGCGGGGGGGGGCGTCGCCAGCTGTCGGCTTTTTTATATTTATTTCTGGGGCGTCACCGCGGAGGATCAAGCAAGGCGGGAGTGGGGTTTTGGGGCGGTTTCTCAACCAAAGTCCCCACACCACGCCGGTCACCAAACTGACGTCCGCGTCCGCTCACTCCGTCCGCGCCACAGGCGAGCGTCGACGGCCCCGCCTGGTGCTGGTGGCTCCTCGCCGTGCTGCCGCTGGACGGGCAGGCGCAGCTCAAGGTGCTGGCCATGACATCGCTGCACGACCGCCTGCGTGCGCTCAGCCGGGTGCTCGCGTACGTGTCCGGCCGCTCCCGCTGACCCGTCTCGACGGCCCCGCAACCACCACGCCCGAGCCTCCCCACCCCCCCCACCCCCCCCGCAGCAACCCGCCCATCTCACCTCACCCTCGTCGCCGCAGCCGCCATCGCCGACAACTGTGACCGAGGTCGTGGCAGCCCCCGACCCGGCTCGAGGTCACCACCGCCAGCGCCCCATAAAAACAAGCAACCAACGTGGCCTCCGACTTAGCCCTTAAACCGGCTTGGAGGTCAGAGCCGCTCTGCGAGGAGCCCCATCGCCGCTGCCCACCACCGGCTCGGTCGAGAGTCTTCCTTTCTAGACGTCTGTCCACAGTCCTCTGCTGCTGCTGCCGCCGCCGCTGTCATTAAACAGCGGAGCGGGTCACGGACGATCGCTTTAAACGGAGCGGGGAATGGAAGCTGCTGCTGCCTTCACCGAGGAATGGACGCTGCCAGCTCTAGCTAACAAAACATGCACGCTGCCGCATCCAAACCTGACCAAAACGCCCACGCTCGTCCGCATTCGGTGTTATTCTCGACAAAAAAAATGTTAACCCTCGTTTAAAAAAAACCTAAAGTTATTCCGGAGGGTCGAACATGCCCGAGCGTGCATCCATCGCAGAGATTGAGTGGGGATGGTATCAGAGATTGAGTGGGGATGATATCAGAGATTGAGTGGGGATGATATCAGCTTGGTGTGTAAGGGGCAGTGGATAGATCAAGACTGATGATGTTGAACCCATCCTAGCATGATGGTTGTAATTGTTGTGCCATCTCCCCACAGACGGCCACGACACAAATTGAATAAATCGCTTAATCTTCTAAATCCACCCACTCAACAAAATCTGACTCGGCGAACAAGGAGCTTTTGTGGGTTAGTTTTTCAAGGGCACACCCCCCAACCCATGTTGCCTTTAAACCGTGACAAAGCAACTGGCAGCCGAGAATCCACTACTTCCCGCGTGCTTCCGCCGTGGTGGCGACAGGGAAGGCTGAGATCCCCCAGATGAGCGAGCATCGTGTGCTTTGTTTCGGCTGTCGCTCCAACAGGGACGACCGACCGTGTCCTCCTCACAGACGGCCACCCGTGAACGCGACACACTAGTAACCGTGATGGAGGAAGTGGGGGGGGGGGGTCAGTAACCGCCGTTCTCATCCGATTACAACTTTGAAAAAAAAAAACAGGGTTTTTCTTTTCAAAAGTTCTTGACCATATATATTTTTTTACAGCCAGCTGTCTGCAAATTTTTCTTCCACCAGGCCCATTCATAAGCCACAACCAATCTCCGTCACGCTTCACACACAATCACAACGGTGAGAACGCAACAATGAAAGGGGGCACAAGCTGCATTGTGCGAGCAGCAGGTGGCATGGGAACGCAGATAGTCGGGGTTTGGGGGGGTAGCGGGGAGAGGGGGCATGTGCCCCCCACAATTTTTGGCCCCTCGCAGGCGAATCACCCGATAGGTACCCCCGACAGCGGTGATTTAAAGCTCCGTCGATTCAGATGGTTTGTTTGCGTTTGTGAGGTGCCTGCGAGAATCGATTTGGGTGGTCGTTATCAATCCTTCCAAACACGCGGAAACGACTCCACCCCCCGCCATTCGATAACTTGGACGGGAGGGAATCTTGTGGCCGGAAGAGCTACATCCGAGAGTGATTATCGGCGTGCGCGTGGAAATGTAACGGACCGTCGAGCGCGTGATTTTACTGCGTTTAGCAGGGAAGCATAGCAATCGATTTAAAATCAAACGTAATCCATGCGTTGCTAAACGCCAAATGGAAGCCCTGCAACCATTAGACCCTGTCGCATGCATCCATCACAGGGATAGGGTGGATCGCCTCGTCTCTAATCCAGTCTTCAGACCGAGTCCTCGAGTCTAGCAGGCCCCGATGAGCAACGCACAAACAAAAATATATTTTAGATTGTCCCTAAATTAAAAATATATGTTAGATTGAATTCTCGTATAACACTTGTTTCAGGGTATATGTATATACAAAGAGCGTGGCCTAGTGTGGATAAAGAATGTCTGTAAAGTAAAGGTCTCCATCGGTGGTTCCGTACCACGAAATTCCAAGGCCATTCTGACACAAAGTGGTGCACTGCTTCGCTGCAAGTTCCAAACGTCTATCGGGCCACGCCATCGCAGCAGGACACAAACGCAACTGGGCATTAAAAAAAACAACTACTATATGTGTAACTCCTGATGATGACAAAGATGTTGACTTAAAGCTTTCGCGACTGCAGGAATTCATATTCTTTTGGGTCTTTCGGTAAAGTAACGTGGATAGGTTACGTGACTTTACCAAAAGACCCAAAGAATATAAAGATGTTGTTGATAATGATGAATATGATGTAAGACCTCATGATGAGGTGAGCATACGAAACTAAAGCTCCCGCGTCAAGCCTCCGGTCCCCACGCAGCCTCGGGGCTCTGCGCTGGCCGCTGAGATTGTTTGCTTTTGAGTTCAAGGGTCAAGACCGTGTGCAGCTTTACCCAGACGATGCTTGGCCACGACCAACGGCTGCAGAGAAAAAAACTTCTCAGACAGGAGGGTGAAGAAGATGGGAGAGGAGGGAGCATGAGGTTATGGTGTACGTGGCCCACTTAAAAATAAGAATGAGGTTTCTCAATGTGGGGGGGACCCTCACCCTGCCGATCAAAGGGCATTATACAAAAACAGAACCTGCGAAGGTTCCGGCAGAGGTGAGCGGTCGACCACTGGGAGCTCAAACACACAGCAGGGAGTGTGGGACACGTCGAGCGCCAAACCTACGCGGCGCATTCGCCGGGGCCAGAACGCGCGGTTGGCCGCTGGCATCGCCAGCCGACGAGCGAGCGATCCACCTCGGAGTTGTTGAAACCCGCGACCTGTCGCGTGACCTGCACTTTGTCGACCAAACTGCGAGTTTATCGAGTGAGCGAATAAATTAAGTGAGAGCTTACGCGCTGTAAATAAGACCAGAGCTGTTTTTCGCGTCTTATTTCCCCCCCGCCCCGATTGCGTGCCGTGGCCCGGTGTGGCTTGGCCCCGTGTGGTCTGACACGGCTGCGCTCACGACCGGCTCGGGTCGCGGCTGCAACCGTCGCTGCGCCCTATGGTGCCGCCGCTGCTGCTTCTCTGTGCTTCCTATAAAGGTTGCAATCTATTTATATGCCGAGTATATTGATATTTCTGGTTTGATGTAAAAAAAAATTGCGGAGGTGTGCCGTGGCCGTTTTCGTGCGATATTTTCATATCCTGGCGGTTTGTCGATGCCGGTTTTGCCGCGAGGGTTCCACCAGCGTGTCACGAATACCAAACCATGAGGGGGGGTAGGACCGGGTAAGGGGATAGGGCCACCGGAGGAGGGGTCAAGGGAATGGGCAAGAGGTCCCAGGCGGCCCCCCGCGAACTGAACCCTCGGCACGCCGGCGCCGACAGCCAGCGCAGGCCGACGCCGCTAACAGTCGCATGGCACCCGAGTGCAGATTCCAGTCCATCCTGTTTGTTTCTCTTGCTTTTTGTATTGTGAACTTTGTTAATTTAAAATAAAGCAAACACTCCAACCGCGTCGCTCGTCCGCGTGCTCCGTTCCACACTACGTAGCGGGGATTGCGCACAGCAAGTACAACAAACAAAAACCCTCAACGCGTTCGTCAACAACGCTGCAGTGGGCCCTTCTTTAGAGCACACAAACAAAACCACACAGCTGTACAATGTCACATTTACAACAACAAAAATCTCAAGTGATCAGCAGTGCCTTTATTCAACGTCCGTCCTTACATTTCTGGAAGGGGTGGAGGCCACTGCCCCTTTTTCCACCTGCCCCTAGCCACACCCACCACCCATGTGCCACATCCACCACCCATGTGCCACATCCACCACCCATGTGCCACACCCACCACACATGTGCCACACCCACCACACATGTGCCACACCCACCACCCATGTGCCACACCCACCACCCATGTGCCACACCCACCACCCATGTGCCACACCCACCACCCATGTGCCACACCCACCACCCATGTGCCACACCCACCACCCATGTGCCACACCCACCACCCATGTGCCACACCCAGCACCCATGTGCCACACCCAGCACCCATGTGCCACACCCAGCACCCATGTGCCCCGCCACCAACGGGGCCTCATCAGCGGTGGTGGCAGCTGCAGGATGCCGGGACCCAGAAAAAAGGGGCCCAGAGGGGTCGGTTTTTTTTAGCTGCGTTTAATGATCGTGCTCGGCAGTGGCCGCAGCCAAAAAAGCAAATTGCGCGCAACATCGATTCGGCGCGTTGTCGGCGCCGGATTCGTGCACCGACTTGAGCGGCGAGACGCCCGGCGTCGATTGAAATGGCAGTGTCCAACGAGCCCGACGAGATAACGCGAGCAAACCGTAACAAAGAACAACGCCGCCGCCGCCGCCGCCGCGTTAAACCCTCGGCCTGTTGTAAAGCGATTCCGCCCCATCGCAATTCGAATCGTCGATCAAATGTTATACAATACAGTTATTTTTTTTTGCGTTTACTGCGAGCATACAAGTTATAGCGACCGCGTACAGTAGAAGTTGAAATATAGCACGCCTTATATAAGCACAGCGCTGGTACTGCATAAGCAACGCGTGCTGACTTTCACTGGTGGGGGAAGGTTATGGCCAACTTCTGCTACAAGCAGGGGCGTGCTTATTTCCAAATTTGACTGAGTATGAGAATCGAGCACTTGACGCTAAGTCTGCAATCATTCATCGCTGCCCGCACCGATTCTATGAACTGTCATGATTCATGATTCTGAGGGGGGGGGGGGGCAAAATCGGTTCAATTAACAGACCGCTTCTTGAACACTTGTGAATGTGGCGCCTCGAGTCGGAGCAAGTGGTCACGTGTGAACCAACCGACAAACTAAATCGATCCGCTAGCACGCACGCGACTTGACGCGTCCGTACCGTGAGCGCGAGGAATCGGCTCATCGTTGGTAGAAAGCCGCCACGGGGAGGGGAAGCAACCGAAGGTCGAGCCACGTGCTCTGGGGAACAACGGGGGAGACCGATCGCACGCCGAGCCAGCGCCAACACTTCACCAGGCACCTACACATGCCCGCGGCCCTTGTCCTGCACCTTGCGGTCCGAGTCGAGGAGCCCGATCCAGGTGCCGAGTTGCTGAGCGCGCAAGCGGCACCACACGAGGTGGTTGCTCAGCGCCAGCATCTGAGCGGCGCACAGGGCGGCCGCCTCCGGGGACAGGACGGTGCTGCACCCGAGACCTGCAGGAGGAGGGGCGGGGGGTGGTGGGGGAGGTAGAGATGCAGCAGCAGCAGCAGCAGCGGCGCACGGAGCCGGGGGAATTCGCGCTGCGACAGTAGCGGCTCAGAACTTACGAGTGACCGGCGCCATTATTGTCGTGCCGTCAATGTATTTATTATAACGTCGCCCGTCGTACCGTGCCAGCAGCACCGTCAAATAGCGCTAGCAGTCCCAACGCATAACCCGAGGAGGACCATCGCACAGCACCAGCAGCACTGACATACAGTGCGAAGAAAAAGTTTGTGAACCCCCTTAGGATTTTCACATATTTTACATTTGTGAAAATCGATAGTAACCGATTTTAATTCAAAACCCTTTTGGATATTTAAGAAATATACAAACCCTTTTGGATATTTAAGAAAAGACCGCTTTTGATTCAAGAAGGCTGTCTAGGAAAAAACGATGTAATTTCCTTAATTATCATTGGGGTTCAGAAACACAGCACGAGCAGTACTGTCATATGTAGCTCAAGCAACGACCATGCAGCGCTCCTATCAGCAACATCACCAACCACACAGCACTGGCCATGACAACACCCACCACGTCCAATAACGCCAGTGCGGCCAACGGCAGCGAACCGGCGCCGGCCGAGGATAACAGCGACTTTTCTGGGGGAGAAAGGGGGCGGTGGCTGGGTGGGGCAGCGTACCTCCGGGGAGACGGAGCGAGGACCACACATCCTGGGCCCCCCAATCGGCAGACAGCGGGGGGCAGTTGATGACGGGGCACACCGTGTTCCCCGAGAGCACGGGGCCTAGCCCATTGCTCCGCCCGGCCACCGCCACGAACACCGTGGGGACGCCGTCCGCTGCAAGCGACATCGCCCCCACCCCACGCTCGGTCAGAACATACGGACAAACAAATACACCCGCATTGCCACCTCTCTCTGACCGATTCATTATAGATTTTTCTGGTTTGGCTGCGTAATGTTCTGGCTAATGTCGTGATGAGTCTCCTCCATCCACCTGACGCAGCCCACCAATCGAAATCGTCGCGTGTTCAAGCGGTTTAACGACGAGCTGATTATTATTGTTTGTTACGGCTCGCCGGCATATTGACGAGGAACTCTCACAAATCAGAATCGGCTCAATACAGGAGGGGGGGGGGGGGTTTGCTCGAAACTGCGCCGAGCGTATTCAGGACGGAACCGAGATACGAGGGTAGAGTGGGTCACCTTCGTAAGACGATTTGATGTCCAGGGTCTGGTCGGGGCCCTTGTGGGCGGAGGAGATGCGCAGGGTGCACGGCACGCCGTGGTGAAGGCACGCGGCGAGGATCTTGTCACCGTGCGGCTGGTCCGACGCCGAGCCCATGAGCACCACGACGCGGCCGTCACCGCTCCCCCCGGCCGGCGTGCGCAGCAGCTGATGGCGCAGGTGGCAGTGGGACGATGGGTGGGAGCAGGGGCGGGGGACCGAGAAGAGAGAGGAGGAGTAGGCACAAGAAGATTCACCAAGGCCAGCCACCACAGCTTCCCCAAGCTCGTAGCGCTCCACGTACACGTGTGTATGTGTGTGTGTACGCACGCACGCATACACGCGTACCTCCACGCGCTCGGCCACCCACTCAAAGTTCTTCTTGACGACCTGCAGGGCATCCGGGGTCACCTCAGACAGGTCTCGGTACGTCTGCGGAATGCACACATGCACACGTATGAAGACAAAGATCCTCTCGGAAACCATACAGACTGTTGGAGCAAGTTCTATTAGCACCTGCGATGAAGGCCGACTCAGCACACAGACGGGGGGGTGGGGGGGGGGTGTGGCCAAGTACCACGCCCGGTCACCTGGTCGCCCCAGTCCAGGCATTTACATACCACCCCAGCTACTCGTTTTAAGGCTGAGTCGATCTAGGGGAGGGGCCTAAGACAGGTTCAGAAAGTCGTCTCCGTCTGCAAGCAGAGTGTGCTACCCACTGCGCCACCGCTCCTACCCAATCACCCAATCACGAATGCACGCACACACCCTAGTGGCAAGATCAGTGGCTCAGAGAGAGATCCCACAGAGGCGGTAGGTACAGCAAGTAGGTTACTGTCGTGATTTACAACTTCCGCGACTGCAGAAATTCATATTCTATGCTCCTGGTGCTGCTGCTACACTTGTGCTATGCCCATCTCCAAACCTTTAGAAACGGTTTGCCTTTAGAGGCCGACTCTTTTGCCTGATGACAACCGCTTGTGTTGCAATCGAAACGTCGTGATTTTTCTTTTCTATCTACATGACTTGACCGAAATAACCACAGAATAGGTGACTGTTGTCTCTGCGGGGCGGCACCTGCTTGTCCTTCTGCTGCCTGCGGTCTCCCGCCGGCCACAGCCTCCACGAGTCGTTGTCGATGACGTCGGCGAGCAGGATCTCCTTCGTCGTCACGCTCACCCCGAACTCCACCTGCAGGCAACCGCGAGTCACCCACGCACCTCCACTCGTGCCCCCATTGTTTAAACTTCCGTACCATGGAGATGCAATAAAACCGGCGACCACTCGATTGCAAGTTCAGTGTGCTCACCGATATTTTAAACAACAATTATATCAGGGCAAAGGTGTTTTACAGACCGTAAACAAACAACAGGAAGCTCCAGCATGCCTTGGATGGCACCGTCTTCAATAAACCCCCTTTTCATCTCAATCAATGCCAGATTCTTGGCGATCCCCACACAGAAACTCTACGAGCACCACGCACGCAGACCCCACGATCACGCCCGCACGCAACCGCCGCTTGCCACGAAGTGGCAGTGACGTCACCGCGGTGCTCGAGCCATGCGAGGTGCACCGATCGACGAGCGGAGCTCACTCACCTTCATGTCGACGAGCGTGCACACCTGCGTGGCCCACGCCCGCTCGAGGATCTCGAAGACGGCCTGCGTGGTGCGCGCCATCACGGCCACCTCGTGCGTCCCGATGAGGCGGCCGGCCGGGGCAAGCTGCGCCGCCACGAGCTGCTCCTCCGACCACTGCGGGTCGTTGTTGGCGTCGTCCTGGCGGGTTTCCACGGCAGAGGGGAGACGAGAGGGGCGAGGGGAGGGAGGAGACGAGAGGTGAGAAGGGAGATGAGAGGGGCGAGGGGAGGGAGGAGACGAGAGGTGACAAGGGAGATGAGAGGGGGGGGGGGGGGGGAGAGAGCACGCAGGGGAAGAGGGGTTTGAATTGAACGGTCGATCGGGCACGCGAGCGAGCGAGCGAGTCGGTCGACGTTGCAGGCGGCGGCGAACAGAGTCGGCGAGCGTCACCTTGAAGAAGATCTCGAGCTTTGGGGAGGCGAAGCGGAGCCCCTCGGCGACCCCCGGGTTGCGCTTGAGGAAGGAGCCCGTGGCCACGCGCCGGCACACCCACTCGATGGGCACCATGTCGCAGCGCTCGGCCAAGAACGCCGTCTTGCCCTGCGCCTTCACGAACGCCGTGCGGATCCCTGCGCCGCGGGCGTCGCCGCAGACACGCGCGGTGGGGTTAGCCCGCCGTGCCATGAAGCTTGATTACCACTCGCGGTTAACGATCGGCGACGACCGTCTGAACCTGTCCTGGGCCCTGCTCCTAGGTAGTCTCGGCCTTAAATGAGTATCCCATGCGGTGCGCAAACATCACCACTGGGGAGACAGGAGGCCGGGTGTGCATGACGAAGTTGCATGACGAAGTTGAGCATATGGCTTAGAGGAGAATGTTTCACAGGTTATAGAAATCACATTAAAAGTTTAAAAATGTTTAATAAAATGTCAAAGCGATCATAAGTTGCGATGGCGGCTGGCGATCGAGACTAACAATGGAGTGGCAACCATAGGAAGTCAACACGCCCACGAGAGAGCACGTCCGCCGCGGAGATGGAGCAGAGAAATCGGCCGAGGCCGTACCAACGTCGTTCAGCAGGGCGAAAACGGCAGTCGTGGTGCGGTTGGACAGCGCCGCTTTGCCCTCCAGGTGGTCACGCCGAGCCGCGTTTCCCGCCGTGATGCTGTCGCGTGACTGCACGAGCACCCTCCCGGGCTGCCCGTCCACGGCGAACACAGCCTTCGTCTTCCCCTCGGCCAGCTTCTCGCCTGCGGAGGAAGCACGGGCAGAGTGCGCGCGGTGGCCTCCACGAACACTCGCGATGGGACAGCCCCGGGAGCAGCATGACGCTGGCGGCGTGCCCACAGCCCTTACCTCCTCCACAAGCTCCATCACCCGCAACAACAACAACAACCGCCGTTCACCACAAAGTGGCGTTGACATCACCACGATGCTTGTGCCATGATAGGTGCACTTAGTGGCCACATGAAGTGTCAAAGGCTCGCTGACAAGTTCCATGGGTTGACTGACTTACTGGCAGATGCACCAACTCTGCTCCCCACTGTTCCAACTTGCTACATATTTGCCGCCTGGTGCTCTGCTCGTTGCCAGTGTCACTTCTCTTACAAATGCCCAATAGCATCCTTCACAAGCCTCCTCGACAGAGGGAAATCTTGACACCGCTTGTACCAGTAATCGGCAAATCAAATCAGATGCACACCATTCTGTACCACAGCAGCCTATCTCTTCCCTAACCCGTGCTAGACACTTTTAGTCCCCTCTATCCAGCCAAACAGAAGCTGCTTGGTGGCTGGGCATGCGAGCTACATGATCTTGCCAACATAGCTTCAATCACCGATGGGAATGTGTCCACATCTCTCAAGGTACACAACGAGGAAGCAGACAACCACAAACACCTGTGTGAACAACACAATCCTACAAGCACACGTGCATGTACAAGAAGCTGCGATGTGGCCCGGAATCAATGAGAATGCAAATTAACAAAGAAACTAATGATGCTGGGATCTGTGTACTCCCATCTCCTGCGAGCTGGCAACCCCAGACAGAGCCAGCCTTGTGTGAGGAGCGCACGTGTGAAAGCCTGCATTTAGGGCGATTAGACCGTACAAAAATGAATGCCCTTGGAGACAAAACGTTAACACTGAGAAGGCATTCTCTTTCGATTTAAAGCTTTCGTGACTGCATGGATTCATCTTCTTGGTTCTTTCGGCCAAGTCACGTAGAATGGAAATAAAATAATAAAAATAAAACATAATAAAATAAAATTCTCACGACGTTTCGGCCACAACACAAGTAGCCTTCTTCAGGTATAGAAACAGGTCTGTCCAGAAGACAGCGCTTGAGTGAACACTGCCGAGCATGGATCGCGTCTTTTAAGCTGTGTGGGCGGAATTAACATATGAATTAGCATATTACCAGCCCCACCTCCGGAGCGGAGGAGAGTGGCGGCTGGGCACAAGAAAATACCAAAGCAGAGCAGCTGAGGTGCGCTGCCCTGTGTTGCATTATAACTATGCTATAAACTGGACTACTAATCAATACAATATTATACCTTCCAATCTAAACTACATGGTATATCATATCCATAGACAAATTCCACCTTTAAATTATACAATGTTACTTTACACTACCCTATACTTTAGACTATAAAATATTAGACTTGTAACATTACACTGTCTTATTCTATGAACCCAACTATATACCACACTGCTGTATATTACTATGCAATTATGATACTATATATTGCCTTATGAATTATGTTAAATATTACAATGTTATACTATTTATTATTATACCACATGCTATAAACCATACCATTACCCGTGGTGTGAGAGGTATTAAGGGGCAGTGCCTGCGAATGGACTGCGGTCTGAAGGTCACCGTAAAATAAATCAATTAAGAACCGAAATGGTTCATAACATCTTTCCAATGGTTACTAAGCCAGAATCCATCTTCTCGGTTGAAATTGTCTCTGTGTTTGTATATGTGGATGGCCTCATGAACGAATCTCTCATGGTAGCCGGATGGCTTGCAGAGAACCTCCGTCTTGGAGAAGTCTATGTCATGTGAGCCCACTGAATTATAACAGTGATCTGCCATGGCTGAGCAGTTCGTCCTACCGTGTTTCAAGTCTGCTTTATGTTCACGGATGCGGTCCGAGATATGTCATTTGGTTTCTCCAATGTAGCTGCTACCACAGAGGCAACTTAGTTTGTAAACGCCCGGGTACTGTATGTCTGGAACCACATCTTTTACAGACGGAACCAGATCACGGATTTTATGTACTGTGTTGAATCGGACCTGGATTTTGTGTTTATTCAGGATTTTGGAGATCTTTTTTGTGACCCCTGCAATGTAGGGTAAGGTGATGGTTTTGAATGGCTCCTCAAGAGGATCCATCTTCATGACTGGAGTGATGGCTTTGCGGATTGTGTAGTCGGAGTAACCATTTGCCTTGAGAGCTTGGTGTACATGGTTGAGTTCACTGGCAATGTGTTCCTGGTCGGAAATGCATTGGGCTCTATGGTATACAGTCTTGATGAGGGAGTTCTTCTGGGATGGATGGTGGTGGGAATCCGGTTTTAAGTAAGCATCCGTATGGGTAGCTTTCCTGTAGACAGTGGCTCATTGAACCATCAGGTCTCCTTTTAATTAAGACATCCAAAAAGGGTAGCTTGCCATCTTTTTATAAATACACCATTTAAAAATAAATAAATTAATGCAAACCAACACACCTGATGACGACCGTTTGTGTTATGGTCGAAACGTCGTGAGAATTTTTATTGTTTTATATATATATTATTATTTTATTGTTTCCCTTCAACGTGACTTTACCGAAAGAGCTAAGAATAGGAATTGATGTGGTCGAGGAATTGGTCTAGAGCAGGCCGGCCATGTGGCCAGATGACAAAGGTGTCATCCACATACCTCTTCCATAAAGTCGGGCGTAGAGTGGCAGTCTGGATGGCGTCAGTTTCAAATTTTTCCATGAACACGTTGGCTACAACCGGAGATAGGGGGGAGCCCATTGGGGTGCCCTCAGTCTGTTTGTAGAAAGTTCCATTCCAGGTGAAGTATGTGTTGATTAAGCAATGTCTTACCAGGGGGGGTACATCAGTATGCAGTCCTTGATAAACCAAGTCTTCAATGATTGCGATGGTGTCAGGTACCGGAACTTTGGTGAATAAGGAAACCACATCAAAACTGACAAGCAGGTCATCTGGGGACAGGGAAATACCCTTGATTGTCGATACCAGGTGAGTAGAGTTTAGTACCGCAGAGGTGGTTTTTCCAGTGAAAGGTCGCAGGATATCAGACAGAAAACGAGCCAGTTTGTAGGTGGGGGAGTTGATAGTGGAGACGATGGGACGAAGGGGTGTATCTACTTTATGTATTTTTGGTAAGCCGTATAATCTTGGTGGTCTGGCCGCAGAAGGTTTCAACGAGAACTGTTTGGTTTGATCAATTAATGCTGTTGAATCAGAAATGATTTTTTGGTTTTAGTAACCAGGCTGTTGGTGGGGTCTCTTCTTATTTTGTATAGCTGCCATCGTTGAGTAGTTCCTGAATTTTGTTGTTATATTCTATTTTGTCCACGATGTCAGTGGCATTGCCCTTGTCGGCTGAGAGGATGACAATGTCATCTCTCTTTTTTAATTGAGATAATTCATACGCTCATCTTTGCTGATGTTGCTAGGTGGCATCTTAGCGTTTTTGAGGGTTGCAGCGATATCAGATCTTGCTACGTCAGCAGATCTTGCTACGTCAGCAAGATCTGAAATCGCTGCAACCCTCAAAAACGCTACTTGTGTTGTGGCCGAAACATCGTGAAAATTGTATTATGTTTTATTTTTATTATTTTATTTCCATTCTACGTGACTTTACAGAAAGAACCAAGGCGGCGGCATTCTCTCTTCACGAGGGACGGCGGGCGCTGCCAAGCAGCCTGGGGAGGCGACGCATAAATACACACGACGGCCTCTGGGTTAATGGTCATCAGTGTACAACATCGCATATCGGACCGCCACACATACAATAAGGAATTTCAACTGCTGGCTTCAGGCCATCAATGTAAATGGGTGCCTCTCCACCCTCGTTCCGGCAGGGAGATGGCTTTGCCCCTCGCCTATGGAACCGTGACAGAGTCGCGGACGGCCGAACGTGATTTTTGGACGTCAAAAATAACGGCCAGTCTGGGAGAAGACTGGCTGGTTCTGGCTGAGATCCAGGATACAAATCTCGGAAGCCACTGCCTGCGATTAACCCGGGTCCCTCAAGTGTCGCAAGTCGATGGTCACAGCTCGATCACTGATGAAAGCACAAAAGAGCATGACATTCGATTTGGTTCCACAGTTGATTTGGTTACATGAAAATCACATGAGAATTCAAAAGTATTTGGTTTCACGGTCACGCGACGATCATTGCGCTCTGTTCGGAGGGTGGCGGGGAGGAAAGTGCCACCATCTCCTGTGCGACCAGAGAAGGACAAGGGACCTCAGATGTAGCTCCTTGGTATCCGCTTCCACGGGCCGTTCTCTAAACACAAATGGGTGGCATTGCTCCGTGGGAGAGTTTTGAATGTATTGTTTGTAGCGTGACACGATGTCCTGCAAATAATCGTGGATAATATGGAGGACCAATATCCAAGTGAAAACAAGTCTGCGCAAAGGGGGTGGGGGGGGGGGGCGCTGGGTTCCTGATGAACACAACACATGCTCGCGGTTGTGCAATCGTACCCAGAATAAACGAAACCTTGATGATGGAGAAGATAGAGACGATCCAGATTTTGGGTTCAATAGTTCGTCTCCTGCATCTGTTTGCTTAGTTCTCAGCGTGCTCAAACAGATGCAAGCACATGCTATAACTGTACTCAGGGGGCGAACGTTTTTAAAATATTCTTTGGGTCTTTCGGTAAAGTTCAGATACTACAGTGTGTGCACCCGCAAATTTTGCAAATAAGTAATCATTCTTGCCACATTTTATATAACATGTTCATCCATATCAGGATCATCAGCCGTGGTTTATCCACTGCTGGATGAGGCATCCTCCAAGCCACCACCGTCCACCACTCACGACCCTGCGATGTAATAAAAATCAGAGCACCCACACGCGAGATACTTCTGCGCTGGATGCCCTACTCGAGGTGTTCCTTCCAATCCTTGAGCTGCCACTCCATCTCCAGCCTTGTCCCTTCTAGCCATGACTCGTCCTGCCCAAGCCCTGATAGACACTGGATCATTGAGAAAACCGCACAGCATTTTCCGAATTGTTGGCGGGAAAACAATGTATCACCTTTGATTTTTTTACCCGGGGTGTGCCCCTGTTTACAACGCATGTGACACCAGAACAATAACTTGACAACCTCGGACTTGCATTGCAGACACTTCAAAATATGTGGGTCGTTATGAGCGAGTACAGTATCATCATCAAGTGCAACTGGATCGTCAAGCAATTAGGGCTGTAATTTCTGATGGAAATAACGTGCCCGCCTTTCTCGATAAGGGAGAAATGCTGGTAAAATAGCGCGGTGGCGGACATACAGCGACGAGGTGACGTGTTCAGCCATCCTGGAATGCCCGTGGCGGTGATCAGAGCCAAACTCTTGGTTTTATTCCATAAATCAGCCATAATTAAAAAAAATTACAAAGATTAAAAACAACACCCCCACGTGTATGTAAAAGTGTTATTGACGACCGTGTTGAGTTGTTTTTATTGTGTTTGTGCACCACTACTGCCAACGCAGCATCGCAAGTACCAGATAATTGTTGCATTTACTCCGAGGAAAGAAGCTATGCAACCTCCACCCCTGCAGATGACCAGGTTATATTATTAATTACCAGGTTATATTATTAATTACTATGTTATATTATTAATTACCAGATTAAATTATTAATTACCAGGTTATATTAATTACCAGGTTATATTATTAATTACCAGGTTATATTATTAATTACCAGGTTATATTATTAACTACCAGGTTATATTATTAATTACCAGGTTATATTATTAATTACCAGGTTATATTATTAATTACCAGGTTAAATTATTAATTGCCAGGTTATATTATTAATTACCAGGTTAAATGATTAATTACCAGGTAATATTATTAATTACCAGGTTATATTATTAATTACCAGGTTAAATTATTAATTACCAGGTTATATTATTAATTACCAGGTTATATTATTAATTACCAGGTTATATTATTAATTACCAGGTTATATTATTAATGACATCGCAGACTATGTTTAGTTTAAGGCAGCAGTGTTCCATGCGAATGTGTCGAGTTGACACGTTTGATGATCCCGAGTTAGAAAAATTATCTGTCTAATTTGTGGAATTGCCCTGCATCATAGCACGCGAAGCATAAATCTCTGTATTGTGATTAGGGATCTCACCCCGCCCCTTGTATTATAGACATGGCATTGGCCAAACATCCCAAATGCGATATCCTCCTGCAAAATGCGTTGAGATTCGGGGGGGCGAATTACAGCCACTAGTTTAATCACGTATTCAGCTATTCGTTCCAATGGTTTTCCCCGTAACTTAAGATTTAAAAAGCAATCTTGATGTCGAGATTAAACTACCGTGCTCTGCGATTCTTATTCGCTTTTTTCATGGTTATTCCTTTTAGTGGATTTTGGTAGTTAATATCAGCTATGTCGCTTAGTTTGTATCTATATTAGTGAGCGTAGATTATTACTGTTGTTATCAAGCTGTCGCACGCATTTCGTCATCCCAAACTCTGCCATTTGTACCGCTTTTTCTGAAACAACGGATTCCTTGGCGAGACTTCTTCACACGCGAGCCCCGAGTTTTGCTTTGCAGTTGAATTTACGACTGTGCTCAAGCACGATGCTCCTATACACCAACAGCATCAGCACAAGACAGTGGGGGAGGGGAGGCACGGCCTATACTCCACACTCACCACATGTCTCTCGTCTCATGCCCCACGGCCTATACTCCACTCACCACATGTCTCTCGTCTCATGCCCCCACCATTCAAAGGCCTTGCCCTTCGTGGGCTGGCATGGGCCCTGCAAACACCAAATGCCCCAATCCCACCCTCACATTGGCGGTGAATCGCTGTTATAGTGGCCCGCACATCGAGTAGGCTGCCCCCACCTCGCCCCCATCCGACAGCTGGGCACGCCGCCCTCATTCAATGCCCTAATTCCATGCAATGCCAATATCCGGTGCCTTGCTTTCATCCCATACCCGAATCTCATCCCATAACTTGCCCTCATATCATGCCCTATGTCAATTCCGTATTCCAATGCCCTCGTCGCATGCCCAGCTCTTATCGAATGCCCTTAAATGCCACGCTCTGGCATTACATGCCCACACGGGATTGAATGCCCTCACACAATGCCCTGCCCAAACATAACCCCACGCTCATAACGGAATGCCCTTTTCCTCAACCAAATGCCCTTTACCCTCCAATCCCAACCAATGGCCCCTGCCCTCGTTACCTGCCGGCATCGCTGCCTCCTCCATCGCTGCAGTCGCAGAGAGCGCACGTGGACAGCGGGGACACGGCGGAGACAAGGCGGGGACACCGCGTGGACAGCGGGGACACGGCGGAGACACCGCGTGGACAGCGGGGACACGGCGGCGTGCACGAACAGCAGCAGCAGCGTCGTCTCGTGGAGGCGGTAGAATTGCAGCGGGAGGACACGAGGGAGGAGGAGGACACGAGGGAGGACACGAGGGACCTCGTAGTCAGTCGGCGTAGTCAGTAGACGCAGCCAGGGCCCGGGCCTCCTGTCTCGTGGTTCTCTCGCTGCGCTCCGCCCCTCCCCCTCCTCTCCACCCCTCCCCCTCTTCTCCACCCCTCCCCCTCCTCTCCACCCCTCCTCTCCACCCCTCCCCCACTCCACCCCCACCCCTCCCCCTCTCCACCCCACCCCTCCCCCTCTTAAGGAATTGAAGAAAACTCCCAAAACGCCCGCGGTTCTCACCGCCCTCCCCCCTCTCTCCCTGTGGAAGGAACCAACTTCCCATTTCTGACGACTGCTTCCATCGGACACCGCTTTGCCGCTTTGCCGCAGCTCCTCCCCACCACTTTAAACTCCACCTCGCCCACCACGGCAGGGAGCTCAACGCCATCAAAGTTGCCAGGCCGCTCGCGCGAACTAACTCGGTGAACTTTTAACGCGACGGCGGTGGTGGTGGTGGTGTTGTTGGTGTTGAGAGAATCACCGCAACGGAGTTGGACTCGCCCAGTTCCCCCCCACCCACCCCTTCTCTGTGATTCCCCCACGCCGCCGCGTCTCTGGGCCACGTGGTTTTAGAATTCAACTTTTGTTTCGGAGCGAGGGGTGTAAAACAAAAAAACCCACGAACTTCATTCTTCCCGGGGATTTAAAGTCGGCGGGGAGGATTTGACAACTGGGTAAGTTCGTTCTCTCTGCACCACCATCACCACCATCATCACCACCATCACCACCATCATCATCACCACCATCATCACCATCACCTATACCATCATCACCACCACCATCATCACCATCATCTATACCATCATCACCACCATCATCATCACCTATACCATCACCACCATCATCACCTATACCATCATCACCACCACCATCACCTATACCATCATCGTGCTGACTGATCAGTGGACTGCAGAGAAAGCGGTGATCGAGAATTGAGTGGCGCACTTTATAGTCTGAACCCCGCTCGTCGTTCGTTCATTCAGCATCGTATCCCTTCGCTGCTTCCACCGTCTCGCTGCGAGCCGGTGCGGTGAAGTATGGTCAAACATCTCCGCGTGAGATGGGGGGGGGGTGTGGATTGACAGAGCGGCTGCGTGGTTACTCCGTGGGTGATGCGCAGGGTGTCTGTGTGTTCGAGTTGTCGTGGCCCTGTTTGAGCACGTGCTGCCAAGTACAGTGCAGAGTGAAGTGAACACCGCGCCCACGTGTTCTGCCTGTAGGTGCCGTGTGGCAAGACGAGGCACGTGTCTTACTGGCTACACGTGTGTCTAACTGGCTACACGTGTGCCTAACTGGATACACGTGTGTCTAACTGGATACACGTGTGTCTAATTGGTTACACGTGTGTCTAACTGGCTACACGTGTGTCTAACTGGCTGCACGTGTGTCTAACTGGCTACACGTGTGTCTAACTAGCTACACGTGTGCCTAACTGGCAACACGTGGTCTAACTTGATACACGTGTGTCTTACTGGCTACACGTGTGTCTTACTGGCTACACGTGTGTCTAACTGGCTGCACGTGTGTCTAACTGGCTACACGTGTGTCTTACTGGCTACACGTGTGTCTAACTGGCTACACGTGTGTCTAACTGGCTACACGTGTGTCTAACTGGCTACACGTGTGTCTTACTGGCTACACGTGTGTCTAACTGGCTACACATGTGTCTAACTGGCTGCACGTGTGTCTAACTGGCTACACGTGTGTCTTACTGGCTGCACGTGTCTAACTGGCTACACATGTGTCTAACTGGCTACACGTGTCTAACTGGCTACACGTGTGTCTTACTGGCTACACGTGTGTCTAACTGGCTACACATGTGTCTAACTGGCTGCACGTGTGTCTAACTGGCTACACGTGTGTCTTACTGGCTGCACGTGTCTAACTGGCTACACATGTGTCTAACTGGCTACACACGTGTCTAACTGGCTACACGTGTGTCTTACTGGCTACACGTGTGTCTAACTGGCTACACGTGTGTCTAACTGGATACACGTGTGTCTAACTGGCTACACGTGTGTCTTACTGGCTACACGTGTGTCTAACTGACTGCACGTGTGTCTAGCTACACGTGTGTCTAACTGGCTACACGCGTTTGAATTTACCGACCTATGCCAAATCCACTGCTGGATGAAGGTCTTCCCCCACGCTGCCGCTTCGATCATTTGAGGTCCGGGGGGGGGGGGTGTTTGACCATACGTCACCACTGTGGCTCTCGGTGCGTGTTGCTGAACTCGCAGGGGGAGGAGGCCTGAAGTAACAACCTGAAGTAACAACCTGAAGTAGTAACAAGTGATGATGTCCAGTGAGACGCCGCGTGGCCGGGGAAGCGAACACGGATCGCAATGGCAGTGGCCGCAGTGCAGCGTGATAACGTGCAGCGTGATAACGTGTATCGTGATAACGTGTATCGTGATAACGTGTATCGTGATAACGTGCAGCGTGATAACGTGCGGTGTCTTTGCCCGAGTCTCGCCGTGACAAACACGCGCCACCAAAGCGTGCCACAACCCACGTCGACCGGATTCAAACAACGCAGCCCTTAACTTTTTGCTTCAGAATACGAAGTGCGTCCTATAATCCTGAGGATACGGTGTTAGCTTGCACGGGGGCGGGGGGCGGTGGGGCAATGGTGAGTTGAACCTGGCGACCTTGCTACTATGACCCCATCAGTGGCGAGTGACATCTGAAGCAGTGCTGGGCCCCCCTCCCCTTATCCACCCCCACCTCGCCTCCCAACTTCACCTACCAACCCGGCGTCGTGAAGTTTGGTCAAACAACCCCGTGTCACCGATGCAGCCTTCATCATGCAAGCAGTGGATTGACATAGGGCCCTGTGTTGCATTACACAGATGATGCTGATGATGATGACGACGGTGACTTCTATTGTGATGTCATTCTTTTGTTTGTCACTCGACTTGCTGCACACCCTCCCTCCTCTGCATCACGTGGACGGTGTTTGTTCACAACACGTACACCACCACACTGCGCCTCTTCATTGCCACACACACACACAGCCATTAGCCACTTGCCTGACGTATTATACTGTGCACAGGGTGTGTGTGTGTGTGTATATATATATAGAAAACCAGGAATTAATTTCTCACGGATAATTTTCCGGGATCGCTGCTCGGCTGCTGTTGGAGGGGAGGCACGCGGAGAGCAGAATTAAACTAAACTCAACGTTTTATTTGAGCAGGTAAGGCCCATTGAGCTATGTCGCTCTTTTTTTTCAGACGTGACCTGGTCACAAATGGTAGCTCAACGAAGTGGCTTATCACGTGGGAATCTGTAAGAGCCAGATGCTCTCTAAACGCATGTTTCTAAATGTGGATTGGGAGAACACGCAAACTCCAAACACGCAGGCGTCATGGCCAGGACCGATCCCACGACCTCGGGTAGACCAGGCGAGGTAGTTAGCAACTTGCAGCCGTGGTGCCCCGGATGACGGATTGTGGTTTTCTGGCTGCTGTACTTTCCGGAGCAACGATCCGAACAGACCCGGCTGACTTAACTAAGCCCCTGCTTACAACACAACGATGATGATGATGTTTTAGGTTTTGGATAACATTGCTTTGCTTTCTGCTCGAAGAAAGACCGATTTTGGAAATATATAATTTAGCCTTATGATATGATTCTGACATCTTATAATTTTGCTCCTTAATACGTATTAATGTTTCTCTTCTCTATGCATTTGTATTGTTTTGTGAGTGTTTTTGCAACAGTAAGTGTTGTCGAAATGTTTTCCTTATCTTGTGTGATGTAAAATTGAACCTCGTAGAATGAACGGTGCTCTATAAATACAGATGATCATTATTATCGGCTTAAAGGTCAGACCGTTATATATTTCTCTCATCATCATCAACCATAGTCCACTCCTGGATTAAGACCTCCCCAGTGTTATTGACGAGGGCGGTGAACGTGATTTTGTTTGTGCACAGTGTTCAAGGCAGTCCCTGTTGTTGTACTGCCGGACTCCAATAATCCTCGCTCCTATGATCCACACATTCCTGGGGAAGCACGACACGTGACGAGCTCCACCCATCTCTCTGCACCTCCAGCTGTCTCATTGCAGCTGTCCGCCTGTCTCTCTGCAGCTGTCTGTCTCATTGCAGCTGTCCGCCTGTCTCTCTGCAGCTCCGCCTGTCTCTCTGTAGCTCCGCCTGTCTCTCTGCAGCTGTCCGCCTGTCTCTCTGCAGCTCCGCCTGTCTCTCTGCAGCTCCGCCTGTCTCTCTGCAGCTCCGCCTGTCTCTCTGCAGCTGTTCGCCTGTCTCTCAGCAGCTGCCCGCCTGTCTCTCTGCAGCTGCCCGCCTGTCTCTCTGCAGCTGTCTGTCTCTCCGCAGCTGTTCGCCTGTCTCTCCGCAGCTGTCCGCCTGTCTCTCTGCAGCTGTCCGCCTGTCTCTCTGCAGCTGTCCGCCTGTCTCTCTGCAGCTGTCCGCCTGTCTCTCTGCAGCTGTCCGCCTGTCTCTCTGCAGCTGTCCGCCTGTCTCTGTAGCTCCGCCTGTCTCTCTGCAGCTGTCTGCCTGTCTCTCTGCAGCTGTCCGCCTGTCTCTCTGTAGCTCCGCCTGTCTCTCTGCAGCTGCCCGTCTGTCTCTCTGTAGCTCCACCCATCTCTGTAGCTGTCCGCCTGTCTCTCTGTAGCTCCGTCTGTCTCTCTACAGCTGTCCGTCTGTCTCATTGCAGCTCCGCCTGTCTCTCTGCAGCTCCGCCTGTCTCTCTGTAGCTGTCCGCCTGTCTCTCTGTAGCTCTGTCTGTCTCTCTGCAGCTGTCCGCCTGTCTCTCTGCAGCTGTCCGCCTGTCTCTCTGCAGCTGTCCACCTGTCTCTCTGCAGCTATCCGCCTGTCTCTCTGCAGCTGTCTGTCTGTCTCTCTGCAGCTGTCCGCCTGTCTCTCTGCAGCTGTCCGCCTGTCTCTCTGCAGCTGTCCGCCTGTCTCTCTGCAGCTCCGCCTGTCTCTCTGCAGCTGTCTGTCTGTCTCTCTGCAGCGGTCCGCCTGTCTCTCCGCAGCTGTCCGCCTGTCTCTTTGCAGCTGTCCGCCTGTTTCTCTGTAGCTCCGCCTGTCTCTCTGCAGCTGTCTGCGTGTCTCTCTGCAGCTGTCCGCCTGTCTCTCTGTAGCTCCGCCTGTCTCTCTGTAGCTCCGCCTGTCTCTCTGCAGCTGTCCGCCTGTCTCTCTGCAGCTGTCCGCCTGTCTCTCTGCAGCTGTCCGCCTGTCTCTCTGCATCTGTCCGCCTGTCTCTCTGCAGCTGTCCGTCTGTCTCTCTGCAGCTGTCCGCCTGTCTCTCTGTAGCTCCGCCTGTCTCTCTAGCTCCGCCTGTCTCTCTGCAGCTCCGCCTGTCTCTCTGCAGCTGTCTGTCTGTCTCTCTGCAGCTGTCCGCCTGTCTCTCTGCAGCTGTCCGCCTGTCTCTTTGCAGCTGTCCGCCTGTTTCTCTGTAGCTCCGCCTGTCTCTCTGCAGCTGTCTGCGTGTCTCTCTGCAGCTGTCCGCCTGTCTCTCTGTAGCTCCGCCTGTCTCTCTGTAGCTCCGCCTGTCTCTCTGCAGCTGTCCGCCTGTCTCTCTGCAGCTGTCCGCCTGTCTCTCTGCAGCTGTCCGCCTGTCTCTCTGCATCTGTCCGCCTGTCTCTCTGCAGCTGTCCGTCTGTCTCTCTGCAGCTGTCCGCCTGTCTCTCTGTAGCTCCGCCTGTCTCTCTAGCTCCGCCTGTCTCTCTGCAACTGTCCACCTGGCTCTCTGTAGCTCTGCCTGTCCCTCTGCAGCTCTGTCTGTCTCTCTGCAGCTGTCCGCCTGTCTCTCTGTAGCTCTGTCTGTCTCTCTGTAGCTCCGCCTGTCTCTCTGTAGCTCCGCCTGTCTCTCTGCAGCTGTCTGCCTGTCTCTCTGTAGCTCCGTCTGTCTCTCTGTAGCTCCGCCTGTCTCTCTGCAACTGTCTGCCTGTCTCTCTGCAACTGTCCGCCTGTCTCTCTAGCTCCGTCTGTCTCTTTGCAGCTGTCCGCCCGTCTCTCTGCAGCTGTCCGCCCGTCTCTCTGCAGCTGTCCGCCTGTCTGTAGCTCCGCCTGTCTCTCTGCAGCTGTCTGTCTGTCTCTCTGCAGCTGTCCACCTGTCTCTCTGTAGCTCCACCTGTCTCTCTGCAGCTGTCCGCCTGTCTCTCTGCAGCTGTCTGTTTGTCTCTCTGCAGCTCCGCCTGTCTCTGCAGCTGTCCGCCTGTCTCTCTGTAGCTCCGCCTGTCTCTCTGTAGCTCCGGCTGTCTCTCTGTAACTGTCCGCTTGTCTCTGCAACTGTCCGCCTGTCTCTCTAGCTCCGCCTGTCTCTCTGCAACTGTCCACCTGGCTCTCTGTAGCTCTGCCTGTCTCTCTGCAGCCCCGTCTGTCTCTCTGCAGCTGTCCGCATGTCTCTCTGCAGCTGTCCGCCTGTCTCTCTGCAGCTGTCTGTTTGTCTCTCTGTAGCTGTCTGTCTATCTGCAGCTGTTTGTCTGTCTCTCTGCAGCTGTCTGTCCGCCTGCCTCTCTGCAGCTGTCCGCCTGTCTCTCTGCAGCTGTCTGTCTGTCTCTCTGCAGCTGTCCGCCTGTCTCTCTGCAGCTGTCCGCCTGTCTCTCTGCAGCTGTCCGCCTGTCTCTCTGCAGCTGTCCGCCTGTCTCTCTGCAGCTGTCCGCCTGTCTCTCTGCAGCTGTCGGCCTGCCTCTCTGCAGCTGTCTGTCTGTCTCTCTGTAGCTCCGCCTGTCTCTGTAGCTCCGCCTGTCTCTCTGTAGCTCCGCCTGTCTCTGCAGCTCCGCCTGTCTCTGCAGCTCCGCCTGTCTCTCTGTAGCTCCGCCTGTCTCTGTAGCTCCGCCTGTCTCTCTGTACCTCCGCCTGTCTCTCTGCAGCTCCGCCTGTCTCTCTGCAGCTGTCCGCCTGTCTCTCTGTAGCTCCGTCTGTCTCTCTGCAACTGTCCGCCTGTCTCTCTAGCTCCGCCTGTCTCTCTGCAACTGTCCACCTGTCTCTCTGTAGCTCTGCCTGTCCCTCTGCAGCTCTGTCTCTCTGCGTCTGTTCGCCTGTCTCTCTGTAGCTGTCTGTCTCTCTGCAGCTGTCTGTCTCTCTGCAGCTGTCCGCCTGTCTCTCTGCAGCTGTCCGCCTGTCTCTCTGTAGCTGTCTGTCGGTCTCTCTGCAGCTGTCTGTCTATCTCTCTGCAGCTGGCCGCCTGTCTCTCTGCAGCTGTCTGTCTATCTGCAGCTGTCCGCCTGTCTCTCTGTAGCTCCGCCTGTCTCAATGCAGCTGGCCGCCTGTCTCTCTGCAGCTTGCCGCCTGTCTCTCTGCAGCTGTCCGCCTGTCTGTAGATCCGCCTGTCTCTCTGTAGCTCCTCCTGTCTCTCTGTAGCTCCGCCTGTCTCTCTGCAGCTGTCCGCCTGTCTCTCTGTAGCTCCGCCTGTCTCTCTGTAGTTCCGCCTGTCTCTCTGCAGCTCTCCGCCTGTCTCTCTGCAGCTGTCTGTCTCTGTAGCTCCGCCTGTCTCTCTGCAGCTGTCCGCCTGTCTCTCTAGCTCTGCCTGTCTCTCTGCAGCTGTCCGCCTGTCTCTCTGTAGCTCCGTCTGTCTCTCTGCAGCTGTCCGTCTGTCTCTCTGCAGCTGGCCGCCTGTCTCTCTGTAGCTCCGCCTGTCTCTCTGCAGCTATCCGCCTGTCTCTCTGCAGCTATCCGCCTGTCTCTCTGCAGCTCTGTGTCTTTTTACAGCTCCGCTTGTCTCTGTGGTTCGCGACCACGTCCCTAATCAACGAGAGCGAAGATCTTAAAATTAAGAAGTTGCGCGGATTTCAGGACCAGAAGTTTACGATCCATGATTCGATCGATTGGACGCCTGCTCTGCTGCCCAGTGTTGCATAACAAGTTAAAAAACAATCGTGATCTGTTCTCACTAAAGGGCGGTTCTGCTCTTATCAGCCTCTCAGCCTTGTGGAACAGTGTATTCCAGAAGCATTTGTTTAAGCAGGCAACTCTGGACCGTTTTCAACTTTTCTCATCAGCAGTGTCACGCCCCTTGATGGGCAGAATGGTGGCGCAGTGGGCAACATTTGTGCCTCGCAGCCAGATGGGCCTTGCTTCAATTCCCAACTCTCTGGCCCCTTTCTGCGTAGAGTTTGTATATGGCTCTCTCTTGTTCTCTCGAGATCAGTTCAGTTCAGTTTATTTTGGTATAGCCCTGTGAGCCATTCGGCTCTTGAATCGGGTGCAGCCACAACAAACAAAAAAACACGAACAAGAAAAACATCTTAAAGTGACTATGTGACTGTGCAAACAAAATCCATTGAAAAAATAATAGCAAAAATATTCCTGAAAAAAGCACCGCACACCAACGCTGTGTGCAAAAAATCCCAGTGGGATGCAAGTCAAACAACAACCACAAAAACTTAGATTAAGGCCATCAGTCTAACTCCATACTACAACAAAACAAACGTGTCCAAACAAAAAAACGTTTTCCAAATCACCAAAAAATAAAGCCATAATTGCAACGTAACAGTGATCACACGGACTGTGACCGAATTTTTACAATAAACTACATAAATAACATGTAACACCAAATCCTAGAGCCATAGCTGGCTACATGAGTTACTCCACAACAACAGAAGCATCGGTCGGAGTATCAAATTTTTCAATGCACCTTTAAGATCAGCACGCTAAATCAAAATACAGATAATACTTTGCAGCGTCATCCGGAGCGAAACATTTTATTTTATTTTACGCCAATGAATAGCAGTGGCAGCTAGGGGTGTACAACTCCTCTAGAGCAGTTTTGAGAGAAGATCTCATTGGTAGCGATTCAAGTTGCAGTTTATTGGCAATAGCATTCCAGACTGGGGGCATCAATAGCAAAGGCCCTTCCTCCAGTTTTTGTACGGCAATAGGGAATGTGAAGCTGGTAAATGAGCGAAGACCTGAGGTCAAATTTGTTCTTTGAAACAGAGAGGAGATCCAGCAGGTAGTCTGCGGATTTTTTTGTAAGTACATCGTGAATAAATAAGATCTGGTGCACAAGCCGTTGAACATTAAGAGATGTTAAGTTTGACCCAATGTAGAGATCACAGTGGTGAGCACCTATATGGGCAGTTCAATGTAAATCTTAAGGCCGAGTGATGGATGGAATCAAGCTTCTTCAGTACAGTACTTTGGGCTGATTTATACACGATGTCACAGTAGTCAAGTATAGGCAGTATGGTAGTTTTTATCAATTCCAAACGGAACATTGGGGGGAAGCAGTGCTTGTGTCGATACAGAAAACCAATTTTTATTTTTGTCTTTTTACCAATATAATCAATGTGGTCTTCAAAATTCAGTTTTTAATCCAGGATGACCCCAAGATACTTACAGATCTTGACTTGCTCTATTTGACAATTATTGAAGGAATGTAATTGGGGAAAAATAACTTCCTGCTTTAGTCCTGGTGAGAAGCATAGCACCTTGGTTTTGGAGGTATTCAGGACTAGTTTAAGAGGAACTAGCTGATGTTGTAGTTTGTTGAAATCACCCTGTAGCTTAGCAATCACGTCATCCGGAGAGCGGCCAGCAGTAATCGGTAATCGTGTCATCTGCAAAAAGATTTACCCTGGAATGATCCAGGTCAGTGCCCAAGTCATTGACATAAAGAGAGAACAAAAGGGGGCCGGGGATCGAACCCTGTGGAACCCCTTGTGTTATCTTAACACTGTTTGACCTCCAACCATCTGTGAATACAGTTTGGGTGCGAGAAAAGAGGTAATTTTGTAACCATTTTACTGCGTTTTCGGAAAAACCGAGGCAACTTAGTTTACTAAGCAGGGTGTTGTGGTCTACTGTATCAAAAGCTTTGGACAGGTCTAGAAAAAGACAGGCACAGTACTGCTTATTATCAAGGCTACTGTAAATGTGATTCAGAGAGTGTAATGCAGCAGATGTGGTGCTGTATTTTTTTTGGAACCCAGATTGTTTTAGATGTAGTAGATTGTTGGTGGACAGGAAACGTGTGTGATGGTTCGACAGAGGCACGCACACTCGTATGGAGGCAACACTATTTATTTAACACAACTGCAATACAACTGTAACACACACAATATATAAGGTTGTGACCACCGTCCTAATTGCGCTAACATTCGAACACTCGGCTACTACTCAACGTGGCCAAGCCAGGAGGGCTTCTGCTTGGCCAGGACGACTTGAGGCTTCTGTCTTCAGTCTTCATGAGGCGTCTTCATCCCGGACACGAACAGCCCCGCTCTGTGTGCGGAACCCGCTTATATGCCTCTCGGCGTGGCCGGCCACGCCCAGGCCACGCCCAGGCCACACCCAGGCCACGCCCACCTTCTCGAACCCTCGAGAAGGCTCTGCCCCCCGACCACATGACCTCCAAGGTCCCCCTGGAGCCCCTGGCCCCCACCTCAATCCGGTCACGTGTCCGGTCGGGTTCACTCAGAGTGCCACGGCCTGACACGACCCCCGTGGCACTCGTCAACAGCCTCCACACTGCCCGACCCGGCAGTGACGTCATTCATACCGACCCGACATAGCAGTGATGTCATGCGAACAGACCCAACACGGTAGTGATGTCATAGGTCACTACACGTGTGAGAGGGGTTATCTAATTGAGGTGAGTTTGTATGTTCTCCACATTCTGCAGAGGTTTCCTGCAGCTTCTCCGGTTTTATTCGACAGCTAAAAAAACAATTACATTGTATCTCTGCATTGGCCAAAACAACCCAACGCAAGAAAATAATTACCTGCATATTACTCTTGGGATATCGCTTTGCAACACCGCCCCCTACTGCGACATCTTGGCAGGCCCCTTGTGAGTTTTTGTGACTCGGTAAGGCAAGTGCAAGCATAATCACAACAATGTTACGGTTCTGTTACGAGGCAGTGTTTACGAACACGGTGATCAGGTTTGTTTAAACGTGTGCTTGTAAATACATCACTGCGAACACAATTTATTATTGCATTTCTTTTTCATGAACACAATTCAGTTGTAAGCATCCTCTAAACATTTCCCAGTGTTCTCGGAGCCCCGCAGTCTAAAGTCTCTCTGACCTTCCTTCAGAAGGAGGACCATCGCCTGAAACGTCAGCCCTTCTTGGCAGACACTTCATTGTTAAGTCTCGAGCATCTGCCACCCCTAATAGTGACATTTTCCTGCCCCCAAGCACCCTCTCATTTATCGACAGTCACAATGTTGTTTTTTACCCTGTGCGTGTTCTCCAATCCACGTGTTCCTCTTCCGCTCTGGGCGTAATTCGAAGTGTGCGCTTCTCTCCACGCTTTGGGCAACTTTCAGTTTTTGCCGACAACCGCGTTGTTTCTGAACCAGACGTCATAGCAAGGTGGCACTCTCCGAGTAAAACAAATCACGGACATTGTCTAGCATTTCTGACTTTGCAGGAAGCATTGCACGGCAGTTGCCGGTGGTGGTGGTGGTGGTGAACAACAACAACCAATGTGGCCACACATTCAGCTCTTTGAGCTGGTGGTCTGGTGAAGTCTGCGACAATTGTGCATGCAGTGCGATGATGGTGGTAATGATGACGTCAATTTGTAACGCGATACCGCCGCACTGTGTTCAATCCCTTGTAGAGAGAGAGAGAGAGGACGACTCGGCGGCACGCCAGGCACGACTCCCCCTGTCGTGCCATCCCGCTCTTCGCGAGCGCCGACACACACCTCTTCCGCGTCCGCGAGCACCCAATTCTTGTCCGCCCTTCGCGATGGGATTTCTCCTCGTCTTTTCGCAGAGCGTCGCAGCTGCTGTGCTTGAACGATGGGCGATGGCGCCGAAGCCGGGGGATGGACGGATCAGGCGGCGGAGGGCGACGAGGCGGAACTGCGGGAGGCGTGCGGCGTGTTCGGCTGCGTGGCCCAGGGCGAGTGGCCGAGCCAGTTGGACGTGGCTCACATCATCGCGCTGGGGCTGGTGGCGCTGCAGCACAGGTGGCCTACGCGGGTTGGTGGTCGGGTCGGTGGGTTGGGGTGGGGCCCACCGACGGCAATGCACATTTTTTTAATGTATATTTTACGGCGGCACGGCAATGAACAGCAACCAGGGTGGACGATTTCTACAGGCCCGTGCGTGCAAAAGGAGGTTCATATGTTCTCCGGCCGTGAGCTGCACGGAGTAATGATTAGAGGGGATGGGACGAAGCAGAGCGAGGGGAGCGGGATATAAGAGTGGAGATTTAAAGATGAAGCAAAGAAGAGGGTGTTTACCCTGATTTTCTTTCGATGCAGTTTCTTCGGAACGTGGTGCCGGCGTCTCAATCGCTCGGTTCTCATGCGCGCGATTCGATGAGTGAATTGTGAGCGTCAGCATTGATGTTAACAATTCGATAATCGCAGCCAGAGTGATTATCTGTTATAATATTGCTGCGCCAAGAGAAGACATTGGTTCGCGTTGTGAAGCCGATCCACCCCTACCCCTACTCCTGGCCGTGCACTCTCCCCCACCCCCCCTCCTGCTCACCACCTACCGGCCTCACGACTACCCAAATCAGCCCAACTCTTTGTTGCGGGCGGGGGGTGGTGGCAGAGCTTATAGAGAGATAGGCATGGTCTATAGAAGAAGGGCGGGTCCTAGAAAGGATAGGTGTGAAGCCTAAAGAGTAAGGGGGCGGACCATGAAGAGGAAGGAGGCAGGGCATAAAAAATAAAGGGCGGAGCCTCCAGAGGCTAAACGTCCCTGTTGAATGGAGGCAATAAAATAATACAAATACAAAAAAATAAAATAATACAAATACGTACAACAGGCAGCGAACGTCTAGTGCCGCACCAGTTGTTGTATGCCGTTATATATGGTGGCCATGGTGGCGGCTTGGGGGAAGGCCTTGGTCCAGCAGTGGATTGATCCTGGCCGATGACGAGGATGGTATTTGTTGCTTGCGACCGAATAATGCCCGAATGCGCCCGATCTCGTTATACCGAAACTTTGTTTATGGAATATATACATGTATCGAGGTAATGCCGTACGGCACAAAAGCAATGGGAGTCGTGAATCTATCTGCCGGGAATTTCTGGGAGTTAATCCCCTAGTATTATGTGCCATGGGTTTTCTCCGGGTTTTTTCAGTTTCCTCCCATCGCAGAGCAAAATCATTCATTATTTAAAAAGGGGAATTGGGGCAAACGCCATCAGTGTAGCAGACCCCTCCTGAAACATAAACAGAGTCTCAATATTATTTTTCAGGAAGGTCCGTGTCGAGTTTTGTAAGATATTTAAATTCGTACGTATGCGTCACAATTTAATTTTTTGGCCAGATCACTTAAGTAAAGGTCGTGTCGTACGCCCTCCTCCACCCGATACAGCCAATAAAGTTGTCACGTGATGAACAAACAAGTTTTTCCTGCTTCAGCAGCACCACCACCGATGTGTTGTTGTTGGTGAGTGATACACACAAAATGTAGCAATGTAACAATCCCGACGTTTCCCTGGAAGTTACAGCGAGCATCATCATGATCATCATCATGATGATGCTCGCTGGAAAAGGTGTTTAGTTGGTGTTTGAACATGTTAACACATGTTTTATTGCCAGAAAGGGTAAAACCTATTCTTATTTCTCATCATCATCATCAGGCAAATTGCCAAAATTATGAAAATGTCCTCCAGTTGTGGGTCCTTGAATGGGTGGTGTGACATCATCACTGTGGTTCCTCCAAGGCAGCAGGATGTGGAAGGAAGTGATACCCACACGCTAATTTCCATCATGCCAAGTTTAGTGGGGAGTTGTCTGTGTGCTGTAAAGAAGGCCGAGTGCCCGTATGGTCACCCACTCTTTACTTTTCCTTGTAAGGTCACCCATGGCGTTGTTGCTGTTGTTGTTGACGAACGTGTTGAGCTGTCTTGTTGCTTGTGCTTGCTTGTTCACCGCTGCCAATGGTGCAGCAGCAGCATTGCCAAGTAATCTGTTTAATTACAGTGAGGGAAAAAAGTATTTGATCCCCTGCTGATTTTGTACGTTTGCCCACTGACAAAGAAATGATTAGTCTATAATTTTAATGGTAGGTTTATTTGAACAGTGAGAGACAGAATAACAACAACAAAATCCAGAAAAACGCATGTCAAAAATGTTATAAATGTATTTGCATTTTAATGAGGGAAATAAGTATTTGACCCCCTCTCAATCAGATTTCTGGCTCCCAGGTGTATTTTATACAGGTAATGAGCTGAGATTAGGAGCACACTCTTAAAGGGAGTCCTCCTAATCTCAGCTTGTTACCTTAATAAAAGACACCTGTCCACAGAAGCAATCAATCAGATTCCAAACTCTTCACCATGGCCAAGACCAAAGAGCTCTCTAAGGATGTCAGGGACAAAATTGTAGACCTACACAAGGCTGGAATGGGCTACAAGACCATTGCCAAGCAGCTTGGTGAGAAGGTGACAATAGTTGGTGCGATTATTTGCAAATGGAAGAAACACAAAAGAACTGTCAATCTCCCTCGGCCTGGGGCTCCATGCAAGATCTCACCTCGTGGAGTTGCAATGATCATGAGAACGGTGAGGAATCAGCCCAGAACTACACGGGAGGATCTTGTCAATGATCTCAAGGCAGTTGGGACCATAGTCACCAAGAAAACAATTGGTAACACACTATGCCATGAAGGACTGAAATCCTGCAGCGCCCGCAAGGTCCCCCTGCTCAAGAAAGCACATATACATGCCCGTCTGAAGTTTGCCAATGAACATCTGAATGATTCAGAGTTTTGCAGTTTTCATTTATTTGGTATAGCCCTGTGAGCCATTCGGCTCTTGAATCGGGTGCAGCCGCAACAAACAAAAACATGAACAAGAAAACATCTTAAAGTGACTATGTGACTGTACAAACAGAAAATCCAGGAAAAAAACATCAAAAATATTCCAGAAAAAACACCGTGCACCAATGCTGTGTGCAGAAATTCCAGTGGGATGCAAGTCAAACAACAGCACCAACCACAAGACAACTTGGATTAAGGCCATCAGTGTAACTCCGCACTACAACAAACAAACATGGCCAAACCAAAAAAACATTTTCAACATCAAAATAAAGCCATAAAAGCAATGTAACAGTGATCATAGGAACTGTGACAGAATTTTCACAATAAACGACAAACAACATGTAACACCAAACCCTAGAACCATAGCTGGCTGCATGAGTCACTCCACAACAACAGGAGCATCAGTCGGAGTATCAGAGGACAACTGGGTGAAAGTGTTGTGGTCAGATGAGACCAAAATGGAGCTCTTTGGCATCAGCTCAACTCGCCGTGTTTGGAGGAGGAGGAGGAATGCTGCCTATGACCCCAAGAACACCATCCCCACCGTCAAACATGGAGGTGGAAACATTATGCTTTGGGGGTGTTTTTCTGCTAAGGGGACAGGACAACTTCACTGCATCAAAGGGACGATGGACGGGGCCATGTACCGTCAAATCTTGGGTGAGAACCTCCTTCCCTCAGCCAGGGCATTAAAAATGGGTCGTGGATGGGTATTCCAACATGACAATGACCCAAAACACACGGCCAAGGCAACAAAGAAGTGGCTCAAGAAGAAGCACATTAAGGTCCTGGAGTGGCCTAGCCAGTCTCCAGACCTTAATCCCATAGAAAATATGTGGAGGGAGCTGAAGGTTCGAGTTGCCAAACGTCAGCCTCGAAACCTTAATGACTTGGAGAAGATCTGCAAAAGGAGTGGGACAAAATCCCTCCTGAGATGTGTACAAACCTGGTGGCCAGCTACAAGATTCGTCTGACCTCTGTGATTGCCAACAAGGGTTTTGCCACCAAGTACTAAGTCATATTTTGCAGAGTGGTCAAATACTTATTTCCCTCATTAAAATTCAAATCAATTTATAAAATTTTTGGCATGCGTTTTTCTGGATGTTTTTGTTATTCTGTCTCTCACTGTTCAAATAAACCTACCATTAAAATTATAGACTGATCATTTCTTTGTCAGTGGGCAAACGCACAAAATCAGCAGGGGATCAAATACTTTTTCCCTCACTGTAGGTGGGGAGTGATAGCACCCTTAGTGGTTTCAGGGGTGACCTAAAACCGTTGCCCTAAAATATTTATGGCTTTAAAAAAAAAACTCCCACTGGATTGTTAACGTGCCATTATGCAATGCGATTCGCTGCGCACAGAGACATGTTATCGGATTGCGAACCCAAATCGTCAGTTCTCGGGGGGGGGGGGTCAGGGTTTTGGGTCGAGGAGGTCATAATAGCAGAGCCGTTTTTTTTTAGCTTGCGGTTTGAACGGTGGTGCAGTGGTTAGGGGGGCTGCGTTTTGAGTCATTGCCACGGCTCACATCAGTGCTTCAGACTAATATCTGAACCAGTGCTCAGTCACTGCCTTCCTTCACTCCACCAACTCTCATTGGCTGGCGTGGTGAAGTATGGTCTAACAATCCCCCTTTTGTGATTTGGAGCTTTCGTGACTTCAGGAATTACTCTTTGGTTCTTTCGGTAAAGTCACGTAGAAAGAAAAATAAATTAAATAATAACATTCGACGTTTCGATTGCAACACAAGCAATCATCATCGGGTACAAATGAAAGCGAAAACAAACCTAGTAAACTTGAAAATATAATGCAGTACAACACAGAGTCGGCTAACATAACAGTCAACACCCTACCTGGTTGGTTACGTTTTTCCAAAGATTGATAAATTTAAGAGAGCTAAAACACAGACACGGAGACACATAGACAGACACACAAGCAGAGAGAGCTAACACAGAGACACAGAGAGAGACACACACATAGGCACACAGAGAGAGACAACTTACAGAGACACACAGAGAGAGACACACAGGCACAGAGAGAGAGACAACTTACAGAGACACACAGAGAGAGACACACACATAGGCACACAGAGAGAGACACACAGGCACAGAGAGAGAGAGACAACTTACAGAGACACACAGAGAGACACACACACATAGGCACACAGAGAAACAACGCCTC